TTTTAGTAACTGTGGGACGACCCCCGATTCCATGCTCCCTCTCCATAGGATGGAAAAGGCTCGTGATAGGGGCTTCTTGCAGTTCTTGATGAACACGGAGTTTTCCCTGAGTCTGGCCCTGGGGCAGAGTGCATGGGCATGTCATTTAACGCCTGTTCGAAGTCATTTGGCGTCAGGATAACATCAGATAGGCTTGTGTTAACCAAATTCTGTGGCTCTCTCATAAAAAATTCATTTTGATCTTCGACTCTCAGTCTGGTTAGCGGCTTGCTAAAAACTGAGTCATATTGGGACTTGAGTAGTTTCACTTATTTCCTTGCTGTCATCTGTGTAGGACCCATCTTGTTTAAGTAGGGGCCCAATACTGGACGTTGTTCTCGACTTTGATTTGGCATAGGAGAAGAAATACTTTGGGTTTCTTTCGATTTCATTTATGGCTTTTAGTTCTTCCTGCGATTCCTGACTCCTGTAAGATTCCTTTAGCTTAAGTTCGATGCTTGCTATTTCTCTGACCAGTGTCTCCCATACGCATTTCAGATATATTGACCTCTTTTAGCCGCTCTGTTATTCTTTTTCCGTCGCCTGTAAAGGGGGCGCCTGTCTCTATTTTACATCTACTCCTCCTTTTTCTTAGAGGGAATAAGCCTTGTGCATACATCGAGTGCCACCAAGTTAATCTGTTCTAGGCATAAGTTGGGGTCTGTGTTGCTTAGTATATCTTCCCAGCTTATATCGGTTAGGACTTGGTTTACTTGGTCCCACTTTATGTTTTTGTTATTGAAGTTGAATTTGGTGAATGCTCCCTCGTGACTAATCTCATTATGTCGGTCTGGGGCTCCACGCATACATGTCTGAACCTCAATTATGTTGTGATCTGAGTATATTGTTTTTGATATGGTGACATTTCTTATCAGATCATCATTGTTAGTGAAGATGAGGTCTAGTGTATTCTCCAGTCTAGTAGGCTCTATTATTTGCTGGTTTAAATTGAATTTTGTGCAGAGATTTAAAAGCTCGTGTGAGTGTGAGTTTTCATCAGAGATGCCTCCTGGTGTTATTACTGCAACAATATTACAGTGGACCCCCGGTTAACGATATTTTTTCAATCCAGAAGTATGTTCAGGTGCCAGTACTGACCGAATTTGTTCCCATAAGGAATATTGTGAAGTAGATTAGTCCATTTCAGACCCCCAAACATACACGTACAAACGCACTTACATAAATACACTTACATAATTGGTCGCATTCGGAGGTGATCGTTATGCGGGGGTCCACTGTATTTGCTATATTCCTCCATTTTAGGTGCCTTAAGTTGAAATCCCCCAGGAGCAAGATGTTGGGTGCAGGAGCTGGAAGATTTTCCAGACAGTGGTCAATTTTTAACAGCTGTTCCTGGAATTGCTGGGATGTTGCATCCGGAGGCTTGTAGACTACCACAATGACTAGGTTTTGGTTCTCGACCTTTACTGCTAAAACTTCCACTACATCATTTGAGGCATTAAGCAGTTCTGTGCAAACAAGTGACTCTGCAATGTACAGGCCAACCCCCCCCCCCCCTTTTGCCTACACTCTGTCACATCTGTATAGGTTGTAACCTGGGATCCATATTTCGTTGTCCAAGTGATCCTTTATGTAGGTCTCAGTGAAAGCCGCGAACATTGCCTTTGCCTCTGCAAGCAGTCCACGGATGAAAGGTATTTTGTTGTTTGTTGCTGGCTTTAGACCCTGTATATTTGCAAAGAAGAATGTCATCGGACTGGTGGTATTGTTGGTACTGGGGGGATATTTTTTTTTTCCGGCATTAGTATCTGTATCTGTTGGTTTGGAGTGGAGGCCATCAACTGTGGTTCCACTCCAGGAATGACTGGATTTGGTGTACGATTTCTGCCATTTCCTGCCATTTTTTTTTTACTCCTGGCACTAAAAAACCTCTCCCTCTTGAGTGGCTGTGGCTACCCAGGTTTTCCCATGGCCTGGATGTTTTGTATCTTTTTGTCCCCTTTAGATGGTGTGCCTGGCAATTTAAGTTACAGCACAGCCTTTCCTGTACTGAAGAGGTACACATTTCAGGGTGAAAAAGCTTACAGGAAGGGAGTTTGCATTTTCCTGTTGTCATATGGGCACGGCATTTTCTGGGGTGGTCATAGTTGCACATCCCGTCTGTTTTTCCAGATTTCCCATGTCTGCAGATACCAAGTGCATAGTATGTGCACAGGCTTGGTTTCCATTTGCCTTGGGTTTCTGTGACTGTATTCCCTGTTGGTGCATGTTTCCCTGTCTTATTCCTATCCTCCCTAGCACCAACAATGGAGCTCCCACCAGTTGTTTTTGGTAATATATCCTCACTATTGCTAGTGGAGTCCTCTTGTTTGCTATTTCCTGTGGTATTTCTAGTTTGCAATATTGGTTTTATCTTATTTTTGACTACACTTATTTCCCCACTACGGCTCCTGTCCCCTATGAGGTCATTTATATGTATTCCTTCCTGCGTATAATTCCCGACTACCTGGGCAAAATCTCCAGCTTCACCATTACTGTCTCCCAGGACAGCACCTCCAGCTTCACCATTACTGTCTCCCAGGACAGCACCTCCAGCTTCACCATTACTGTCTCCCAGGACAGCACCTCCAGCTTCACCATTACTGTCTCCCAGGAAAGCACCTCCAGCTTCACCATTACTGTTTCCCAGGACAGCGCTATCAGCCCCACATTTACTGACTACCAGGACATCACCTCCAGCCTTAGTTTCTGACTACATGGCTAGTATCAAGGGCAGTACCATTCAGCCCAGACTTTTTATGTTCCCATCTGCTGTAGAAAGCTTCCAGGTTTTCTATGAAAGCAGCTTTGATGTTATCCTCTTTTAATACCCTTGTGATTTTAGTCCACAGATTTATCTCATTTGGGCATACCCAAAAACACTTCCCTGTTTTAATACTGCTTGTAGCTAGTTCTTGGATATCTGCACAAGGGGCGTGACACCAATTTCCACAAAAATGACAATTTATCCATGTGGAAGCCTGTTTGTTTGATTGACTGCAGACTACACAGAGCTTCATAATGATTTGAATGGTTGGTTTACTGTAATTCTACTAGCAACCTCTTGGTAAGTGGTTATAGTGAAGGTTGTGTGGGTGCTTTAAGTGATGGGGTTGTGGGTACTGATAGGAGTGTGGGGTGGTGCTGGTGGGGATTGGGGGTGCCAGTGGTGATGTAAGGTGGTGGTGGTGCTGGTGCTTTCAGCACGTTTCAGTAAAAGATATAAACTGTACATATGCACAAACATATATACCACACAATTAAGCTAACACTAACCCTCACAAAAAAGTCACTCATTGTACAATAAATACCTGCATGCTTGTTTGCTGAATAAAAGGTTTAACAGTTAATGATAAAGTGGGGGGAGAGCGGGTTGTAGAAAAGAGAAAAAAATTCTCCTCAAAATTTGAAATGATATACTGGCTGACTTATAATCTACCAGTCATTACCACCACTATGATTATTATAGATGTGTATAATTATTAACATTAATGAAGCAGGTGGTGTTGTGTTTGTTAAGAGAAATATGAATTTCTCTTGTCTAAGGACAGGGTCATATAACTCACTCCATGGAGATTCAGGTCACTTGACCAAGCCTTTCTGCTAGCTTAATTAAAAAGCATCTACCATCACCTGGAGTATACCTTCACTTGCTGGATGGTGTCCTTACATCTTCCCATTTTTAAATCTAATTATTTTCCCATGTATAAATGGCCAACTAATATGGAGAGGTATTGACAGCTTAGATGTCATGTGGGTCTTCAGGGTTACTTTATAATACTTATGAAAAACGTTCAGATACAGATGAAGCTAAGAATCCAGTATCTTGGTACTACATATTAACCTGTATTGATATACAGGAGGGCCCCTCCTATACAGCAGATTAGGTTCCAGGCCACTGTTGTAAAGCAAAAATTGCTGTAAAGTGAATCATAGCCTTTTTTCACTTTGAAATGCATATACAAACTGATAACATATTTACACTATCATATATTTAGTGAGCAATATAGCTAGGCCTAAAAAATGCAAATACAGTACACACATTACATAAAATATTTTCATCTTTAGCTTATAGTGAGTGGTGAATATATTTATTGTAGGAAGTCTGAATATGTATATGAAGAATGGGTATAATTGAAAACTGTTGTTAGCAAAATGCTGTAAATCGAAGCGCTGTAAAGCAAGGCCTGCCGTACTGTGCCAAAAGTGATAGTCAGGATTTACACAAGTTAATTCATATGCAGTTATTATTCTAAACATAGATACTGAAGGAGTGAGTCAAGGCTAAAGACTAGTAGGTTGAAGTAAAGTAGTAAGGTAAGGGAAACTTAAAAACAAGTACGACTGTGCCCTTTAGCCACCTTCAAAAAAATAAAATATTTAATTTTTCCTCTATGATAAATTCATTTGAATATTATTTATTTAGAAACTGTCTTTACTGCCAGACAACACTTTCCCCCCCCCCCCTCTTCAAAGACCTAAGCCTACTTAATATACAAAAAAAATCACTCATACTACTGTGCATACTACATATACAGGACAGTAAATTCCAGTTACAATCCTGCCCTGAAACTCTTTCTTGATAGTTGCAACAGAACTCACAAGCATAATACTAGACACAAAAATCTCTTATGATATTCCCACGTCCAGGTTAGTCTTTGCAAAAACCTACTACATCAAAAGACCTAAAATCTGGAATTCTCTCTCTGAAAACTCCAGTTACTCTCTTTCTGCCAACTGCTTCAAAGCCACTGTTAAACAACCCCTTGTGTAGCTCACATTCCTTGGATCAAGACCCATTCACCAGTATCAAGATAGAAGAAAAGGGTCAATATAGAGGTAACAAATTAGATATCATATATGGATTCACAAGTAAATACATGGTAGAATACAATAGGCAAACACAGAGGTAAGTGCTGAAATATAAACAAGTCAGTTCTAACCTATCGTGTTTTCACCAGGTGATGTGCGTACAGAGGCGGGTCGTGGGGTGGTGTATGTCAACTATGCCAGGGTCGAGGACTTTGACAAACTGGAAGAGCTCAATGTTAATGTCTCTGGCTGCATTGTCATTGCTCGCTACGGCAAGATCTTCAGAGGGAACAAGGTAAGTGCATCCTCTAAAAGCTGGCTAGCTAGTGTGCACATGTATATGCTCATTCTCTCACTGTATGTGCATGCATCACATTCTTTGGAGGCATGCACAAATGTGTAACACCTGGGTATCTTTATTAGAGAGATGTTTTCCTTGCACAGCAGGCTTTTTCAATTTAATACAGTGCAATAATGATGGAGAATTTTTAATAGACTCTACAGAAGAGGTGCTGAGGTGCAGCAGTTGGAAACATTGTCACAGGTATTTATTTATTTATGTCTTTGCAAACAGTACATTGAGATTTTATATTTACATTAGTGGGTTGCAATGCAAAGAGAGCCTCTATTATGCCTAGGCATTATGGACCAACTTAACATTATTGGCTTACAGACAAAATCCACATCAGGATACTCTATCTTATGCCTTAACCTTCAGCTACCCATGCTCTTCCCACAGCTGGTCCATGCCCAGGAACGAGGTGCCAAGGGCATGATCCTCTTCTCTGATCCCAATGATGTTGCCCTGGAGGGAGTGGAGGCACAGGACGTGTACCCCAACAGTTGGTGGCTCCCGGGGTCAGGCATGCAGAGAGGAACCACCTACATGGGTGATGGAGACCCACTCACTCCTGGATGGCCCTCAACAGGTGGGTGGCTGGTGTTCTTTATTTCATAAGCACTCGCTAAACACCACACGAGTACACTAAGAGACAACACAGTAAGCCTCAGGGGCCCCAAGATTGTTCAACTGCCTCCCAGTATACATAAGAGCTGTCTTCAAAAGGGAGCTGGACAAGCACCTAAAGTCAGTACCTGAGTACCTGAACAACTGGGCTGTAGTTCGTATGTCAGTTTATATGCAGCCAGAAGTAACAGCCTGGTTGATCAGTCCCTGATCCACCATGGGGCAGTGGTCACAGACTGGACCGCGGGGGTTGACCCCCGAAACCCTTTCCAGGTGTACACTCGTCCCACTCAATCATCTCACTCACTTCTGCATTCACTCATCCCCTAAATGGCTGAAACATGTTTCCTTACACCTGGGCATGTTTCCTTACACCTGCTGGCCCTGTTCACATAGCAATAAGTAGGTACTAGGGTGTTAGCTGGCTGTTGTGGGCCATATCCTGTGAGATAAGATTAACCTAAGTTGCCCAAAATGCTCTGCATAACCAGGGGCTTTGTATATACTGTACAGTATATACTGTACAGTATAGAGATCTGTATAAGTTGCATCATGTACTTTATACAAATAAAGATTATTATTTTTATTATTATTATTATTATTCCACTCGCATGCTTCTTACTCTCATTCCCTAACCCATCTAAGTGGCTAACTAATCATCGCCCAACTCATACAACTGATCATCCACCTACTCAATGATTCACCTACCTGATCACCCACCTACTTATCCATCTGATTATTTACCTATTTACCCACTAATATATTGCAAAAAAGTAACCTTTGTTTATGTTGACAACCTTCCACGAGTTACTTTTAACTGATTTTTGTGTGCCATTCTTCAGGGGTAACTGTTGTTTATTATCAGTAATGTTTATTGTTCATTAATGGGTATTATCAGTAATCATTGCTATAAATGATTAGCTAATTTTAGCAATCATTAGCATTAAACATTACCTAATTTTTTAACTCGCTGGCCATCTCCCACCGAGGTAGGGTGACCTAAAAAGGAAACGCTTTCATCATCATTCACTCTTATCACTGTCTTGCCAGAGGCGTGCCAATACTAAAGTTCAGATGCCCCTCCAAACTGCAAATATCCCCACCCCTCCTTGAGAGTGCAGGCACTGTACTTTCCACCTCAAGGACTCTTAAGTCTGGCTAGCCAGTTTCCCTGAATCCCTTCACAAAATTTAACATCGTGAAATCATAACTAGACATCATTAAAATGGCTAGTCCTGCTTAACATTCTTTACACCTGTGTGTACCCCACAGCTCAGGCCTACAGACTCAAGATTGAAGATGCTGACCTGCCCAAGATTCCCTGCCAACCTATTGGTTACGACGATGCCCGTGTCATACTAGAGTGAGCATTGTTAATATACTATTTTAAAATGGGTACTCGTGAGTTGATGGGGGTTGTGGATAATGAGAAAGGATAGGTGGTGCTTTGTGGGGCATGGTTTATTGAATGGATGGGAAGATGGAGGTAATTAAGAAATGGAATAAGCTGGACAATAAACAATGCTAAAATAATCACCATTTCAAAATCATTGATACATATAATCTGGACAGTAGTAAAAAAGTACAATGAAGATTACATTTACTTTTCAAAACATGAAAATATTTCAGATATTACATAACTGGTTTAATGCATTGTGATAATCCTATACAAGTGATGTCATTTGGGTCATGGACATATGTTGAGAGAAACCACATAAGTTTTATTAAGTTTCATCAGGTCACAGGAGGTTATGGGCTCATATCAAGTCACATCACACAGACCAATATATTCAGTTACCTCTTACACCCCCACACACACTCATAAAAACAATAAAAAGCAATTTTTAACCTGTTGTTTGTGACCTGCAGGAAGATTGGTGGCACTCCAGCCCCCGGTGATGACTGGAAGGGCGGCCTGACAGGTGTGGCCTACAACCTAGGACCTGAGCTGCAAGATCGCTACTCCAACTACACACTGAGACTCAACACACACAATGTGCTCCAGGTCCACCGTTCCTACAACGTTATTGGCATCATCAAAGGGGAAGTTGAACCAGGTAAGTTAAAGTGGAGAGAGAGAATGAGAAACAAGAGAGAAACAGAGGAGTACAGTAAGTTCCAAATTTGGGTAATGAAAGATTGGATATCAGATTAGAGGGAGTGAGTGTGGAGGAAGTGAATGTATTCAGATATATGGGAGTGGACTTGTCTGCAGATGGGTCTACAAAAGATGAGGTGAATCATAGAATTGATGAGGGGAAAAAGGTGAGTGGTGCAATGAGAAATCTGAGGAGACAAAGAACATTATCCATGGAAGGAAAGAGATGAAATGTATGAGAGTATAGTGGTACCAGTGCTCTTATATGGGTGTGAAGCATGGGTGGTGAATGTTGCAATAAGGAGAAGGCTGGAGGCAGTGATGTTGCATCTGAAGGTAATGTGCAGTGTATTACATGGAGGGCTGAGGAGGGAGTTGTTGAGGTGGTTCGGATATTTAGAGAGGGTGGAACAAATTAGAATGACTTGGAAAGTGTATAAATCTGTTGTGGAAGGAAGGTAGGGTGGGGTTCAGCTTAGAAAAACTTGGAGGGAGGGGGTAAGGAGGTTTTGTGTGCAAGGGGCTTGGACTTCTGGCAAGCAATGTGTGAACGTGTTAGATAGGAGCGAGTGGAGAGAAATGGTTTTTGTGATGACATGCTGTTTGAGTATGAGCAAAGTAACATTTATGAAGGGATTCAGGGAAACTGGCAGGCCAGACTTGAGCCCTAGAGGTGGGAAGTACAGTGCCCACACTCTGAAGGAGGGGTGTTGATATTGCAGTTTTTTAACTGTAGTGTAGGCAAACACAGCTTACAGAGGAAGAAAAGTATACTACAGATTTGCAAATAGTGGTGTAGAGTTGAATGGCTGGAACACACACATACACTGTTTTTTTCAGTACTGAACCTATTTGGATTTCAATATTCGTAACTACAGACATAGAGCCTATGCTCATGGTGTCCAGCCCTTTGAGGAATAAAGTTTTCCTGCTCTCCCTCCCTTTTGTTGCATCAAACCTGATTACCTCCCCTTGAAGGGAACCCTCGAATCCTTGGTTTACTGTGGCCCGAAAATAATCCTTAATTTTGCTTCATAATAACACCAAAGCACAACAGTACATGTAGTTGCAGTGGCAGTTCTTCAAAGGCTAAGAGAAGCTGTGAAGTGCTTCCCATCATTGAAAAAGTGATAATTTCCACTTATTGTGAATAAATTATCAATTAAACTTTATCATAGGTATGCATGTAAACGACATATATAGGGTTTGCTACTGTCCACGGTAGGTCTTGGAACCTATCTTCTGCAGATACAGGGGGACTACTGTATGTTAATACCCTACTCCTATCCTCCATTTTATCCATGCTAAGCATTATGTTGGTTCTACTGTACTAGTAATAATGTTTACTTAATTTTTATTTGCGCCATCTTATTTATTTTGCCATTTTTAGTATTACCGACTAGCTTCGAGTTATATTAAGCATTGGCATGGCCATTCACAGACCGCTATGTAATCGTTGGTAACCACCGTGATGCCTGGGGTTATGGTGCCTCTGACCCCTCTAGTGGCACTGCCCAGATGCTGGAGACTGCCCGTGTCTTGGGCCAACTCATCAGTAGCACAGGTGAGTGCCCATCAGGTTTTGACAGCCTTAGCTTATATATTCACTACCACCTTTCAAAGTTGTTGCATATTTTATGTAATTTTGTCCATGTCATTATTAGTTTTACATATGTTGTTTTGGTAAAGGGTGTTACAATTTAATTTTATAATTTGTATACCATTATCTTCCCAAAATTCCAGTAATTAAGAATTATGAGTTTTTTAGCTAAATATACACCAATTATGTAGTTATAGTATTCATGGAAATTAAAATATTTTTGTTTAAGGATATTCCAGCATTACTTTTATATAAAAAAAAAATATATTGCTTGCTGATAGATTTGTTTAATTTTTGCAAATTTTTTAAGTACTAAAAGGAAAATTTTTCCTATAAACTGTATATTATGGCTTGTGTTTGCCTGAAATCTTTGCATAGTGTCTATACTGAGCATGTATTAGTATCAAATTGTATTTGTATTATGTATCAAAACTATTAACTGAACTTTAGATCCAGCCATTGTAACTTCTGCATGTGTCTTAGAAATAGAGATTTTGATTTGACTGTGCATGTAATTAAAAATAGTTACACTTAAATATGAAAACAAAATTAATGTAAACTAATCTAAGAATTTCTCCTGTTTCTCTTAGGCTGGCGACCACGCCGGACTCTTGTTTTTTGTAGTTGGGGAGCGGAGGAGTACGGTCTTATTGGCTCCACAGAGTGGGTGGAGGTAAGATGTCTTCCAGGTATTTTGCAGAACAATAAGATTACAACTTCAATTCAATTCAAATTCAATTCAATTCAAAGTTTATTCTCTATAAGGATTACAATGCTGAGTTTACAGAATTTGGTTATTGTGTGGCTTACATGTAGCAAAATAATGATTACAGAGTGTACCACTAGAACACCTAGCATGGCTAGGCATTTCGGGCAGACTTAGATTAAATCTTAAGTTTAAAATATTACAAAATTATGAGGTAAGTTGGTATTATGGCTAAGTGACTAAATACTAGTTTGTGAGTTTAGCAATGTGAATGCTTTTGTTTTGGCACAGTACATAGCTTCAGTATTGGAGTATCACAGGATTCATTATTTTAAGATTGAGATTAATATTTCTGTTTATGGTCAAATGGGTGAGTGAGTGTAAGTGTGAACCACCAGGTGGTATTCGTGTAGTTAGTTGACGGGGTGTATCAGGGAGATAAGATGTTTTCTAATGGTAGTTTTGAAGGTGATGAATGTGTCTGCAGTTCTAGAGTTCTCAGGTAGGGTGTTCCAGATTTTAGGGCCTTTGACATACATTGAATTTTTGTAAAGGTTTAGTCGGACATGGGGAATGTCGTACAGATGTTTGTGTCTGGTGTTATGCCTGTGGGTTCTGTCACAACTATCAAGAAAGCGTTTTAGGTCAAGGTTGATATTGGAGTTTAAGGTCCTGTAGATGTAGATTGCACAGTAGTAAGTGTGGATGTACTGAACAGGGAGTAAGTTTAGATCTATGAAGAGTGGGGGGGTGTGTTGCCAGGGATGGGATTTAGTGATTATTCTTACTGCAGCTTTTTGTTGGGTTATTATTGGCTTTAGGTGTGTTGCTGCAGTTGATCCCCAAGCACAAATAGCATAGGTGAGGTATGGATATATAAGTGAGTGGTATAGTGTGAGAAGGGCATTTTGCGGCACGTAGTATCGTATCTTGTAGAGGATCCCAACCGTTTTGGATACTTTTTTGGTTATGTGTTGGATATGGGTGCTGAAATTCAGGTTGTTGTCAAGGTATAGGCCTAGGAATTTGCCCTCATTATGTCTGGTAATTAGAGTGTTGTCGATCTTAATGTTAATTTGTGCATCTCCTGCTCTGCTACCAAACATAATATAGTAGGTTTTGTCAGTGTTAAGCGTAAGTTTATTGGCTGTCATCCAAGTCGATATTTTGATCAGCTCCTCGTTAACAATGGTGTTGAGGGTGGCAAGATTAGGGTGAGAGATGACATAAGTCATGTCATCAGCAAAGAGAATGGGTTTCAGGTGTTGGGATACATTTGGAAGATCATTGATGTATATGAGGAAGAGCAGGGGACCAACTTGCCTTCTCAGTGAAAGAATAGTTTTTAAGGACAAGCTGAGGATAATTTATCCTCTCAACAGGAATATTTTAGGGATATATATAGGAATACAGTAATTTAGTCTCATAACTACTAAATACATTTATATAGTTTTGATATTTCCCTGCACCTTTAAAGTAGGTTTACCTATACACTGCATTAATTGTGTTGCTGTTATTATAAGCTTTACTGGCTTATTTTTGTAAGCTTGATGATATAAAAGGTAGGTTGTTTGAAATTTGAAAGAGTGCTTTGGCTGTGTAGGTCAGTCAGTACTCCTGGCACTAAGAAAACACTATACAACACCAGCACCAAGTAGGCCTTAGACAGGGATGTGTGATGTCACCATGATTGTTAAGATAAGATAAGGTTTTGCTCGGATTTTTAACCCCGGAGGGTTAGCCACCCAGGATAACCCAAGAAAGTCAGTACGTCATCGAGGACTGTCTAACTTATTTCTATTGGGGTCCTCAATCTTGTCTCCCAGGATGTGACCCACACCAGTTCAATGTATTTATAGATGGAGTTGTAAGAGAAGTGAATACTCAGGTGTCGGCAAGAGGTGTAGGGTTAAAAAATAAAGAACTTAACACAAAGTGGAAGTTGTCACAGTTGCTCTTTGCTGATGACACTGCTTTTGGGAGATTCTGAGGAGAAGTTGCAGAGGTTGGTTGATGAGTTTGGTAGGGTATGTAAAACAAGGAAATTAAAGGTGAATATAGGAAAGGGTAAGGTGATGAGGATAACAAAAAAATTAGGTAACAGAAGATTGAATATCAGATTGGAGGGAGAGAGTATGGAGGAGGTGAATGTATACAGATATCTGGGAGTGGATGTGTTAGCAGATGGGTCTATGAAAGATGAGGTGAATCATAGAATTGGCGAGGGGAAAAAGATGAGTAGTGCACTGAGGAGTCTGTGTAGACAAAGAACTTTATCCATGAAAGCAATGAGGGGAATGTATGAGAGTATAGTTATACTAACACTCTTATATAGGTGTGAAGCATGGGTGGTGAATGTTGCAACAAGAAGAAGGCTGGAGGCAGTGGAGATGTCATGTCTGAGGGCAGTGTATGGTGTGAATGTAATGCAGAGAATCTGTAGTTTGGAGATCAGGAGGAAGTGTGGGATTAATCAAAGCTATTATCCAGAGGGTTAAGGAGGGGTTACTGATATGGTTCGGACATGTAGACAGGGTGGAACAAAATAGAATGACATTGAGAGTGCATAAATCTGTAGTGGAGGGAAGGCAGGGTAGGGGTCAGCCTAGAAAGGTTGGAAGGAGATAAAAGAGGTTTTGTGTGCGAGGGGCTTGAACTTCCAGCAAGCATGCATAAGCATGTTAGATAGGAGCGAATGGAGACAAATGGTCTTTAATACTTGACGTGCTGTTGGAGTGAGAGCACGGTAACATTTATGAAGGGATTCAGGGAAACTGGCAGGCTGGACTTGAGCCCTGGAGATGGGAAGTACAGTGCCTACACTCTGAAGGAGGGGTGTTAATGTTGCAGTTTTATAACTGTAGTGTAAGCATGCCTCTGGCAAGACAGTGATGGAGTGAATGATGATTTAAGTTTTTCTTTTTTGGGCCACCCTGCCTTGGCGAGAAACAGCCGATATGTTAATAATATAATAATAAAAACTAATACCAACACACATGTACATACGTTTCGTCTCAAAAGTGTATGGTATTTTTGTCCTAATATTGTTGTATATGTTTTAACACATCCCTGTATGGTTTACAGGAACATGTGGACAAGCTAAAGGAGCGGGCAGTGATGTACCTGAACACTGACACCTGTGCCTCAGGACCAATCATTCATGTACCTGGCAGCCCTCTACTTTGGGACCCTGTCACTGCAGTCATGAAGATGGTAGGTCTCTGTCTGCCTGCCTATTACTCTCCTCTCTGTTCTTCATCCATCATTTTGCCAACCTACCTGTTTGTGTTCCTGCCAGCCTGTGTGTGCGTGTTATAACTTTATCATATCTATGTCTTATTGGCGTATATTTATGTCTGACAAGGACTCTCTCTCCATGGGAAAGTGGAACAGAATTCTTCCTCCATAAAATGCCAAAAGCAAGGGGCTAGTATCCCCTTCTCCTGTGTAAATTACTAAATTTAAAAAGAAACTTTAGTTTTTTGCTCTTTAGGTCACCCTGCCTCATTCACACATAATCACTGTCTTTGCAGAGACACCCAGATACAACAGTTTAGAAGCATATATATAAAGATATATAACATACCCCTCCAGACTGCCAATATCCCAAACCCCCTCCTTATAAGTGCAGGCATTGTATTTCCCATTTCCAGTACTCAAGTCCGGTTATATAAAAATAACCAGTTTCCCTGAATCCCTTCACTAAACATTACCTTACTCATACTCCAACAGCTCGTCAGGTCCCAAAAACCATTCGTCTCAATTCACTCCTATCTAACATGCTCACACATGCTTGCTGGAAGTCCATGCCCCTCGCCCACAAAACCTCCTTTACCCCCTCCCTGCCATCTTTTCGAGGACAACCTCTACCCTGCCTTCCTTCCCCTATTGATCCATTCTCTCTAAATGACCAAACCACCTCAACAACCCCTCTTCAGCCCTGTGACTAATACTTTTAGGAACTCCACACCTCCTCTTAATTTCCACACTCCGAATTCTCTGCATAATATTTACACTGCACATTGCCCTTAGACAGGACATCTCCACTGCCTCCAGCCACTTCCTCGTTGCAGCATTTGCAACCCAAGCTTCACACTCGAATGGATTAATTGGATTTACATTATTTCTTATGGAAATATTACTTCGATTTTCATCCATTTCGGATTTCGACTGACCTTCTGTAACGGATTAAGGATGAAAACTGGTGTTCCACTGTATATGTTGTTTTTTAAAGTTTCCAGTTGTTGTAGAACTTACTTATTCCTCTTAAATTATTCCATTATTCTACCACTTTTCAAAGAATACAGTGGACCCCCGCTTAACGATCACCTCCAAATGCGACCAATTATGTAAGTGTATTTATGTAAGTGCGTTTGTACGTGTATGTTTGGGGGTCTGAAATGGACTAATCTACTTCACAATATTCCTTATGGGAAAAAATTCGGTCAGTACTGGCACCTGAACATACTACTGGAATGAAAAAAGTTCGTTAACCGGGGGTCCACTGTATTCTTATTATTCTTATAGTAGCTATTTTTCCTTAGTTTATAGGTAGAGTATGTGTTTGTGTAGTGTGCTTGTCTTTTGTTTGTTTTAGAAATCTTTGAAGGTCTTATAATTTATTAATTTTGCATGCTAGCATTTTACAAGAATGAACATAGTGTATACGAAAGGAGGCTTTATGATACCTGGATGAGGACTAACAAACTTACTCTAAACATTGACAAAACCTACTTCATTCAGTTTGGTAGCAGAGCTACAGATGTACCTCTTAACATAACGATAAACGGATCACCTATCACAAAGCTAACAGAGGGAAAATTCTTAGGAATCCACCTCGATAATAGACTCAAATTTCATACACATATACAACAAATTTCTAAGAAAATTTCCAAGACTGTAGGCATACTATCGAAGATACGGTACTGTGTTCCACAGTCAGCCCTCCTGGCCCTTTATCACTCTCTTATTTACCCCTATCTCACCTATGGAATTTGTGCATGGGGCTCAACAACAACTAACCATCTCAGACCACTAATTACCCAACAAAAGGCTGCAGTTAGAATGATAACAAATTCTCACTACAGGCAGCACACTCCACCAATATTCAAAACACTCAACCTACTCACCATACAAAACATCCATACTTATTATTGCACTTATTACATACATAGAACACTTAACTCTGATATTAACCCTCCCCTCAAACATCTCCTTGCCAACCTCAACAGAACACATGACCATAATACAAGGCACAGATCACTCTTTGATGTTCCTCGTGTCCATCTCATGCTATGCAAAAACTCAATGCACATAAAAGGCCCTAAAATCTGGAATTCATTACCTTTAAATATAAAAGAAACACTACCTGTTTATAAATTCAAGTCTCTTCTCAAAGCTCACTTACTCACTCAAAACCAAATAAATACTGAATAACTGAACCATATAAATAGTATATCCTAAATGTTACTCACATTATATCACACAAATGTTAAACCTAACTTTGTTATTTTTTTAAATACACTACCTAACAGAATACTCCATTCTATGCATGCAATGCATGCAACCATAGGACCTGTCTTTGTAATACTCATTTGTATTTTATAGTTATCTGTTTACAATAATGTCTTATCACTGATTCCATCATTGCTTAGTTAATCTTAAGTTAATTTTAAGCCAGCCCGTAATGCTATGCATATAAGTGGCTTTGGCATGCTGCTCTTACCTGTATTTTTTGTACCTCTGTTTGTATGCTAAATTTCTAAATAAAATAAAATAAATAGAATAAAATAAATGTGTCACAGAATCTAATGTAAAGTGAGGAGGAAAAGATTGAACAGGACTGTTGACCCTGTTAACTCAAAGCCAGAATGTTGCTGTGAATTTAAAATAATTATAACCATATAGGTCTGTCTATGGATATCTCTCTCACACTTGGAATCCCAAACTTGTACGATTTACAGGTCAAGGTCCTTGTATTTTCTCATACTATATATTTTTATATTCATGTTTGAGTGACAGTTTGTACATAAATTATTAATGTGTTTGTGAGGAAGTACAAAACACACAGGTACGTAGAACTCCTAGGCAATGGGAGCTAATCAGCTGTGATCCAAGGAAGAGGAGGTTAACTCCAGCTCATGACAGGGTTGATATACAAGACCCCACTTTACAGCACTTCGCTTTACAACGTTTCACTAATACATTGATTTTCAATTACACCCATTCTTCATTTATTCAGACTTCCTACAATGAATATATTTACCACTCACTATAAGCTAAGGATGAAAATATTTTAAAGAAATTAATGTGTGTACTGTATATGCATTTTTTAAGACTAGCTATATTGCTTACTTAATATATGATAGTGTAAACATGTTATCAGGCTTTTATATGCATTTGAAAGTAAAAAAAAGGATACGTTTCACTTTAAAGCAGTAGCTGAACCCAGGGGCATAACAGGTACTAAAGTTAGAGGGAGTGAGCACATACAAAAAAGTTGGCATGACATGTACCAAATAATTTTAAATTCATTATGCATTTTTATTTTATTTTTAAAATCAAAACACAGGGAAGATGCAGTTTTAAATGTAGTACATAATTGTTCTTTTGTATTTAAAATCAAAACACAATAAAAAAGTTTTACAGTAAGCTCGTAAATCACAAAATATAACAAAAACTTGTGTTTTTTAATTATTTTAATTTTAAATGCAAAATGAACACAAAACAAAGCAATGTGAGAAATGTATGAAGCACCTACAGCTGTCTCTTTCATCTAGGTTTCATTCTAGCAAAGTTATCTATTACACTTATAATACACCTCAGTAGCCAACTCTCAGTGGAGAGCAAAGCTAACCCAGACAATCTATCCTTGTCCATTGTAGAACAAAGGTAGAACTTTGTGTTTGAGCCAATTAAAGGATTGTTCCACAACAGCACTAGTTGTTCGTAAGGTCATAAAAATGTGGTGCAATATGGACAAGTTAGGATAAGTGGAACACACATCATTGGTGATCGTGAGTTTAAGTATGTTGTTGATGGTCATTTTCTCTACATCTGAATTTGCCACACTCCTAGTGCTCATTATCTCTTTGTACGTATAAGTCGTTGAATGAAAGAAACTCTTATATGATTTCAGTTTAACTGTCGATGATGTCTGAGTACGTGTATGCTAAAAAATGAGATTTAACTTTTATCACACATGTGAACTAAAGAGAAAAAAAAATTGTTGAAAAGGCGCATCTTTTGAAAAATGTGCTCAAAGGGGACCAGTCGCTTCCCTTGCTTTCCCTCTAGCTACGCCACTGCTGGAACCCAGGGCCTGTGAGAGGGGGTTCAACTGGTACATTGATCTGGGGCCTGGCTGTGAATCTCTGAAGGGGCTCCATAGCCATAGACGTTTTATTTTGAGTTTTTCCATTTGATATTTTTTGGTAATTTCAATTATTTTTAGCTTCAGAAAAATAATTATGGAAAATTCACTTAGACTGGGGGCCTCAGCCTGCCCCCAGGGGACCCAAAATAGTCTTGTTCTGCCTTGCAAAATTTCTCTTGGAGGCCCTGCCTGAACCTAACCTGCTGTATAAGTGGGGCCCTCATGTATGCTGACAGTATGATACTACTACCGTTTTTCTAGCCTTGGCCTGTTGTTATCATTATGGCAATTTTTTTTAACCCAATTTGGCTCCTCTGGCTAGACATAATTCCACAGCTCTGGTTCACCCTTGGCTTTTCTGTGACACTGTAACAATGCACCTGTGGTTTAAGTCTGGCCTTCTTCTATGTTTCAGTGCCATAATGATTCTAATTTCATGGTGGCATTCTTGCAGGTGCCTGGTGTTCGAGATGGTGCCACGGTATATGATGAGTGGAAAGCCTATCAAATTTCCCAGAATGTGACTACACTTAAGTAAGTTAAGATGTAGGAAAAGGTGAAAGTGAATGAGGGGGAAGCGTGAAAAAAAAAGATTAAGAACATAAATGAGGAAAATACTAAGATAGTGAGAAAGGGGAAAAAAAAGAGGGAAAACAGTGAAATTTATAGGGAGAAAAATTTGCAATCAAGAGAGGCAGAGAGAGAAATAGAGAAAGAGAAAAAGAGGGGAGAAAAAAAGAAGTAAAAAGAATGGGATAGAGGGAGAAGCGAGAGAAATGTGAAATTAAGGTTTACCTGGAGGGTGTTCTGGGGACTCATTGCCCCTGTGGCCCTGTCCTTGATCAGGCCTCACGGTGGATCAGGGTCTGATCAACCAGGCTGTTACTGCTGGACGCACACAAACTGACATGCGAACCACAGCTGGGCTGGTCAAGTACTAATTTTAGGTGCCTGTTCAGCTCCCTTCTGAAGACAGCCAGGGGTCTGTTGGTGATTCCTCTTGTGTATGCTGGGAGGCAGTTGAATAGTCTTGGGCCCTTGACACTTGTCTGTTAGTGTACTCATGGCACCCCTGCTTTTCACTGGGGGAATGCTGCACCGAAATCAGGAGACAGGATAGAATAGAGGAAGAGGAAGACGTGTAAACACAGTGTTAGCAGTAAACATAAAAAAGTTTACCATTAATGTACAAGAACTTGATTGGTAGATGATAGTATTGCATTGAGATACAGTAAATGTTAATTGCTATATGTTAGTATGCTATTATTATAAGTATTATTATTATTTGGATAAAATATGCCTGGTTAGTGGATGGTAGCAAGGCATTGTGATAAAATAAATGTGATTCATTAGGGAAGCTGCTGACTAATTTTTTTTTCCTCTAAGGATGAAGACATTGGGTTCAGGAAGCGACTATGCCCCATTTTCTTTCTACTGTGGCATCCCGTGTGTGGACATGTGGTTTAGGAGAGATAAGGTAACCCCATTTCCTACTTTGTGATGTGATTGTATTTACTGTATGTGCTATTTCCATATATACCTTGGCCTAGTTATTTTTATTATTTTATACACATGATATCGCTAACCTGAATGGATCATAGCGCCAAACATACAGTTATATGAAGTACTCCCCCTCCTCTCTCTCTGTAACAGAATAAGAATGATATCTCCATATACCCTTCCTACCACACGGGCTACGAGACCTTTTACATGGTGGATAAGAATGTTGACCCAGGATTCAGGATCCACCAAGGATGTGGTAGGATAGCATCCCTCCTGCTCAAGTACTTTGCAGACTCTCTCATCATTCCTTACAGCCTGCAGCACCTGCCAGAGGCCATGAAGGATGCCCTTGACACCTTTAAGAAAAGTGGCACACGAGACAAGATTATTAGAATATATGAAAAATACAGTGAGTAAGATGGTACTTACTGTTTATCTGAATTATTACATTTAATTAACTCGGCGGCTGTCTCTCACCAAGGCAAGGGTGACCCAAAGAAGGAAACCCATTCACTAATACTCAATGGCCGTCTTTCCAGACGTGTGCTGACATCATAGTCAATTAACCATGCCCTCTAGCTTCACCATCCCCAGCCCTCCTTCAGAGTACAGGCACTGCACTTTCTTCCCTCCAGGACTCAAGTCCACATAATTGGTTCCCTGAATCCCTTCATAAAAATTACCCTAGTCACACTCCAGCAGCACCTCCATTAAAAATCACTTGTCTCCATGCAGTCCTGTCTAACATACACAAGCCTGATGAATGCTCAAGCCTTTAAAACTCAAAACCTATGGGGCTAGTGTACTATAGAATTCTTTTCCCTTAAGTCATGTGTTGTAAATGGCAGCCAAAATGCTGAAGCAAGGAAGCTAGCAATCCCTTCTTCTGTATTCAGTTGCTAAAAACTCAGAATTATTATTATTATTATTCTTTCAACAAACTGGCCATATCCCACCAAGGATTATAATTATTATATATGACCTTTAAAAATGCTAAACCCATAGGGATTCATACAGTACTTAGGTAATGGGAGGTTATTAAATTTGAGCTGATGAAGGATGATAGCCACAATTATTTTTTATTAAGAGCCCTTCACTAGTATCAAGGTATGCCCCTTAACCACTTGACTGCCACAATCCCAAATCCTGAGGTGTCTCCTGGTGTTTAAAAATTCCCCCCCCCCCCCCCCCAAAAAAAAAAAAAAAAAATTCTTATGAAATGATAGAGAATCTTTTCCTGATTGTAATGACACCAAAAGAATTAAATTTGATGGAAAACTGACAGAATTACGCTCTTGCAAAGTTAGCCACCTCGGTGATATTTACGAATCGGCGATTTCACCCACTTTGAGCCCTGTTTTTGGCTAATTCCATTGTTCCAGTCGACCAAACTCATAGCTATTTCTTTAGAACTCCATTTTTTCTATCGATTGAGTACAAGAAACTGCCCATTTACCGATTTCAACAACCCAATAACGTGGTCACAAATTTGAAATTTGGCCAATTTCACGAAAATTTAAAATATATGACAGTTTCAAAATAGAGTCCAGAATGAACAATGCAGACATTCCTGGCTCTAAAATAACATTTTCTTTGTTCATCAGTCATGTGTCCAGGCCCCTCTGATATTACTCTTGCTTTCTATTTTGAATTTTTATTCAAAACAAAAAATAGAAGATTTACTGTTATGCAGACTATTGCAATATTGTAATAATTGTATAAATAATGTCAACCCATTCATGACTGCATATTAGAATGGCTACTTGGACATTTATTGGAAAATGACATCACTTGTTTACTTTCCAACATCGGCAAAAATCAAACATTTTCCCTACTTTGAGCTCCATTTCAAGGTTCTTTTCATAGTAAAACCAATCAAAATCACCTCTACTTCTATAATGTGCTTTCCATTCTATCAAATGAGACCAAGAAAACGAGAATACAACCATAAATACTATACGAAAATAGCCCACAAAGTCGGCATTTTAATTAAAAAAAAAAACGGTCAGAGTTTTTTCTCATTATGCACTATGTGCTGCAGGATTTTTTTTTATGTGGTGCACATTGACCACACAGACCCATTCTCTCACATGTCGGCCTACCAGCTTTCTCCTGCTTGATTTGAAGCCGCTAAAATTTATGAGTATATATACGTCAAACACTGTGGCTCGTAATCGTATATATACGACCAAAACAGTCAAAGAGTTAAAGGAGCTATCGTATTTATCTCTAGGAGGAGGAGAAAGAATGGTGAAGTGTTCTTAATCACTGTATCTAGAGTGAAAGTGGGAATATAGATAGACTGAAAAGTGAGGAAATTCTTAAGTGTCCCATCTACTTCTGGTTTGTAATATTTTGATATACACAGAATATTGTACTGTGACTGTTAATTAATTTGTTCCAGAAAGTCTGATGAAAACCAAATTGTACGAAAACTGAAGCAATATTTCCCATAAGAAATAAATCCAATTAATCTTCTCCACACACCCAAAAATACTAACAAAAAATACATTTTATAGAGAATAACTATAGTTTTACATACAGAAAACAATGAGAAATATATATAAATGACTGATGAAATGGATAAATGAACATTTAACATCACTTTTACCTTCATTGAAGACTCTTGTTGGCATATGGAAGACGGCGAGGAGGGGAGAGGGAGGAGGAGAGGTTATTATTTGGAAGGGGAATCCCCTTCCATAAGGACTTCAGATATCAAGGCCCTATTTGGGGTTACTTCCCTTCTTTGTCTTTTATTGTCACTAGGACCAACTTGAGAGTCACTGTACCCCTGTCGCACAAAAAATCTGTCCAGAGAGGTTTTTTTCTGGCATCTTAAGATTTGCTTAAAATGAGATAAGGCATAATCATTGAACATGTTGCAGACATGGTTTGCAACAGCTTTGTTAGGATGATATTTCTCCACAAATCTTTGCAACTCACTCCACTTTGCACACATGTCCTTAATCACTGAAGAAGGCACATTCTTCCCTCTCTCTTCCTCCTCCCATGAAGCAGTTCTATCGTGTTTCTTGCCTTCTTTATCAAAGGGTTGGCACTCGGAGCTTTCTTTGGCTCCATGGTGGCTTATTTAACAGTTGCGCTCAATAAACAAGCACAAAAAATGATGAATTATTATGAAATGTTTCGGATGAACATGCGGGGTGATGCTCACTCAACGATAAACAAAAGCAGACTGTCACTTGGCGCTTGAGCGGCCAAGTGATGCGGGCGGGCAGGCAGGCGGATGTGTTTGGTATGGACCATTTTCAACTCTACGAAGACAGGTGATGTACAAAAACTGGGACAAAATTTTGACGGAAAAAAATCGTCGAAAACCAAATCCTACGAAAACTGGGGCATATGAAAACCGAGGTCCCACTGTACATCCTCATCCTTGCCTGTCCATTGATCAAAAATTGTCAAGGTTTTATGGGGACTATAGTAATAGATGATGGAAACTCTAGTGGGTGTCAATAGTTTCATTATAAATATATGTATTCTGGAAGATAGGACGAGAGTAAGCTAAGTATGAGTATGAAGTATGATGGGAGGTAAATCATGTACCTCTGAACCAGCAGCTTAAGAGGCTGGTGTGTACTCTCCTATTTGTGGTTGCAGGGGGTTGATTCACAGCATGTGCATGGGATGAGCTATTCAGTGGTAGAATGATTGTCTTGCTGGAATCAGGATGTCTGGTCTAGGAGAGTGGCCTCTCAGATTGGGTATCCTGGGTAAGTAATCTATCTGAAATAGATTCTGTGACCTCAGGTAGGCATCATTTGCAATGCCATTCCACACTAGTATTGTCAAAGAACATTAAATTTCAAATTATTTGAAACCCAAACACTTACAGTAAATAAAATCACTGCACACTTCAAATTTTTAGACTTATTGCTTTGTTTATTCAATTATAATTTTCTTTTACTTTTTATATTAATGTCATTTTCCAGCTCTTCTGGAGGAGTCTTTAACAAACTTTACTGACGCTGCTGCCACCTTCGAAAGAGAGCTCGAGGAGAAGAGGACAAAGAACTTAGAGTGAGTGAATTTTTTATTAACAAGAATAAATACAACTGCAGAGTGTAGCTATCCTAGTTTATGTGATAGTTACATAGTGAGAACAAATGCTAGCTGTATTTTTCTGCCATTATTATTGTTTGTTAGTATTTCCCCAGTTGAATGACTTGGAGAGCATATAAATCTGTAGGGAAAGGAAGGCGGGGTAGAGGTCGTCCTCAAAAAGGTTGGAGGGAGGAGGTAAAGGTGGTTTTGTGGGCAAGGGGCTTGGACTTCCAGTAAGCATGCATGAGCGTGTTAGATAGGAGTGAATGGAGAGGAATGGTTTTTGGGACCTGACGAGCTGTTGGAGTGTGAGCAGGGTAATATTTTGTGAAGGGATTCAGGGAAACCGGTTAGACGGACTTGAGTCCTGGAAATGGGAAGTACAGTTGGTTGGTGCCATACTAGTACCCATACTAGTACCAACCCTGGCTTGCATGCCAGGGTTGGTGCCGTACTAGTTCGCATAAATTCTAGCGCCTTCAAATCTAGCGAGAGAAAGCTGGTAGGCCTACATATGAAAGAATGGGTCTATGTGGTCAGTGTGCACAGTATAAAAAAATCCTGCAGCACACAGTGCATAATGAGAAAAAGCTCCGACTGTTTTTGCTTTAAAACAGTGACTTCGCAGTTTATTTTCGTATGCTATTTATGGTTGTATCCTAGTTTTCCTGGTTTCATTTTATAGAATGGAAGATATATTACAGAATTTGAGATGATTTTGAATGAAAAGTACCTTGAAATTGAGCTTAAAGTAGCAGAAATGTTTGATTTTTGCCAAAGTTCAAAAGTAAACAAATCATGCCACGCGTCCAATACACGTCAACTGGTGAGTCTAATATTCTTTCACAAGTGAACTGATATTATTTATACCATTTCTACACTAATGCAGTAGTCTGCATAACAGTAAATCTTCTATTTTTTTGTGAGAATAAAAATTCAGAGTGGAAAGCAAAAGAAATGTAAGAAAGACCTGGGGACGTGACTAATGAACAGAAGAAATGTTATTTTAGTGCCAGGAATGTCTGTCTTGTTTATTCTGGACCCTATTTGGAAATTAGCATCTTTTGAAATTTGTGTGAAATTGGCAAAATTGCCAATTTCAGACCACTTTATTGGATAGTTGAAATCGGTAAATGGGTGATTTCTTGTACTCATTCGATAGAAAAAATGGAGTTCTAGCGAAATAGTTATAATTTTTGTCGATTGGTACATTGGAATTGGCAGAAAATAGGGCTCAAAATGGGCGAAATCGACAATGCATAAACATCGTCGAGACCACTAACTTCGCGAGAGCATGATTCCGTAAGTTTTCCATCAAATTTCATACTTTTCATGTCATTATGATCAGGAAAAGATTCTCTATCATTTCATAAGATTTTTTTTTTCGAAAAATTTCCGACCCTGAGAAAAAGTTTAGGAGAGGGCCTGTTGACCCTGAAAGGGTTAAAGGAGGGGTTTGGAATGTTGGCAGTTTGGAGGGACATCTAAACTGTCAATATGCCTCTGCAAAGACAGTGATTATGTATGAGTGATGGTGAAAGTGTTGAATGATGAAAGTTTCTTCTTTCTTTTTGGGTCACCCTGCCTCAGTGGGAAATGGCTTATGTTAAAAAAAAAAATCCCCCAGGCACTGTATCACCCTGTAGGGGCTATACAGTGACTGGGGAAATGGAAGTTAATTGGGTTCAATCCAAGGAGAGGAAGGACAGGTCCAATTCCTTGGATCAAGAGCCCCTCACCAGCATCCCTTGAGGGGTGTGCTGTTATGTTCCATTACAAAAATTAGATAATGAAATCAGTCAAACTTGGGAGGTGATGAAGATATCATTAGGATAAGGATGTCAGTTTGTAGTCCAATGTATGTGTTGAATAAGAGTAGAAAAAAATATGTTGGTGGCAGGGCAATTATGGAGATTAAAAAGTTAAGGGACGTTTTTAGGATAGTGGATGGTTTGCTGGATGGGCGAAGTGTAGAGGAATAGGTTGAGGGAGCATAAAATTTAGAATGGGCGATTATTCCAAAACTGTGAAGCAAGGGGCATGGGCAAGAAAGATCTGAGTGAGATGTTGACACATTCTCTGTCTATTGCAGTGAATGATGTACATATCCATTTATCTTTCAACTCATGTCTGGTATAACTGAAGCCTCCCATGTCTTGTAAAACAGTATAAAACTGGGGGTATTGCATATCTATGTTAAGCTCTGTAGTCTGCTTATGAATAATCACATACATGACGAGTTATCAATAAATATTTGCTGCATAACTTATCATTGGAACTTTGTTACTTACAATTGTAGTTGCAAAATAGTGTACCTTTCATATTTTAATTTTTACATGTGCATTGAGTTTAGTAATTCTCCTGTAAATTATTACCATCAATACCAATACCCTAAACATCAAGTCCTGCACCAGCATGACAGTTATTATTGCTACCTTGACCCTTAATAGATTCAGTGACAAAAGTGATTGGGTCATAATTTAAGTACGACCTGCATTAAGTGTTTTATTCCAAGAAACTAATATCATCCCTTTTTCTAATACAGTCTGGTCACCAAGAAACTAATATTATTCCTCTTTCTTATACAGTCCAGTCACCATCCGAGCCATCAATGACCAGATGATGAAGCTGGAACGAGTGTTCATTCTACCAGCAGGTCTGCCAGGTCGACCAGACATCAGGTAGGCACAATAAATGTTTATACCAATTAACGTTTTATTGTCGAGAGCACTCTTAACCCTTTCAGGGTTTCCGACATACTAGTACGGCTTACGCACCAGGGTTATTGATGTACTAGAACGCCTAAATTCTAGCGCCTTCAAATCTAGTGAAAGAAAGCTAGTAGGCCTACATATGAAAGAATGGGTCTATGTGGTCAGTGTGCACAGTATAAAAAAAAATCCTGCAGCACACAGTGCATAATGAGAAAAAAAAACTCCAACCATGTTTTTGGTTTAAAACAGCGACTTTGCACTGTACATATTTTCCTATGGTATTTATGGTTGTATTCTAGTTTTCCTGGTCTCATTTTATAGAATGGAAGACATATTACAGAAATTGAGATGATTTTGATTTGTTTCTTAATGAAAAATACCTTGAAATTGAGCTCAAAGTAGCAGAAATGTTCGATTTTTACCAAATTTCAAAAGTAAACAAATCATGCGAAGCATCCAATACACGTCAACTGGCGAGTCTAATATTCTTTCACAAGTGCACTGATATTATTTATACCATTTCTACACTAATGCAGTAGTCTGCAGGCCCGGTGGCCTGGTGGCTAAAGCTCCCGCTTCACACACGGAGGGCCTGGTTTCGATTCCCGGCGGGTGGAAACATTTCGACACGTTTCTTTACACCTGTTGTCCTGTTCACCTAGCAGCAAATAGGTACCTGGGTGTTAGTCGACTGGTGTGGGTCGCATCCTGGGGGACAAGATTAAGGACCCCAATGGAAATAAGTTAGACAGTCCTCGATGATGCACTGACTTTCTTGGGTTATCCTGGGTGGCTAACCCTCCAGGGTTAAAAATCCGAACGAAATCTTATCTTATCTCTTATTTTTTGTGAGAATAAAAATTCAAAGTGGAAAGCAAAAGAGATGTAAGAGGGGCCTGGGGATGTGACTGATGAACAGAGAAAATGTTATTTTAGTGTCAGGAATGTCTGTCTTGCTTATTCTGGATCCTATTTGGAAATTGGCATCTTCAGAAATTTGTGTGAAATTGGCAAAATTGCCATTTTCTGACCACTTTATTGGATAGTTGAAATCAGTAAATGGGTGGTTTCTTGTACTCATTTGATAGAAAAAAATGGAGTTTTAGCGAAATAGATATGATTTTTGTCGACTAGTACACTGAAATTGGCCGAAAATAGGGCTCAAAGTGGGCAAAATTGCTGATGCGTCAACATCATTGAGACCACTAACTTCGTGAGAGCATAATTCTGTAAGTTTTCCATCAAATTTCATACTTTTGGTGTCATTATGATCAGGAAAAGATTCTCTATCATTTCATAAGAAAAAAAATAATTTTTTTTTTTCCAAAAAATTTTTGACCCTGAGAAAGAGTTGAGGAGAGGGCCTCCGACCCTGAAAGGGTTAACATAATACACCTTCCTTCCATCTTTCGAGCAAACAAAGGAGAGTCGATATGGGTTTCCCAAAAGCACTCAATAGGCTAAAAGTTATAAGTGAAAAAATATTAAAGAAAGTTTTGAAATGTCACTTAGTGTTGTATGCTATAAAAATTCCATACATTCCTTTACTTACTTTACATACCATAGTTTTGAAAGTTATTGTAAGATGAAACTGGTTAGGTCTGACCAGTTAGGCAGAAAACAGATGAAAATGCAGTTAATTAAATTGGGCACAGTGTAACAAAGTGTATGTGGAAAAACTGAAAGATTTGGCAAGGGATGAAAATAAAGAAAAATTGACACATTTACATTTAAAAATAGATTATTGATGGTTCTTCTGTAAAGCCATGATTTGTGCTACATGTAGGTTGACAGTGGTATAAGGGGATAAATCTATATTTTTTCAGTAGTACTTAATAAAGGCCACACTGTGGAGCTTTATTAAAGGGTTTATCCCACCCTGCTTGTATATTTTTGAATTACCACTTATAATGCATCATTTGTTTTACTTTAAATATATCGAAAAACAACAGCATGTTGATATTCGATATATATTTTTGTGTCTACGTTGGTGGGAGATGGCTACTGAAGTTAAGAAAGAAATCTTTGTAAATAACCTAATGCATTACATAATAATTTAAACTAAACTTTTCAGGCATGCGGTTTTTGCCCCAAGCCAATTCGACAACTATGCCACATCAGGCTTCCCTGGAATTTCCGATCTTCTGCACAACATAGAAGAGCTGAACGAGACTGAACGTCTTAAGAAAGAGGAGGAGATCAAGAGACATATCTCTGACCTTACTATTATGGTACAAAGAGCCGTCAGCCTCTTAAAGGACTTCCACATGATCTAAAATCATATTTTATTACCATTTTGTTATGGTTGTAAAGGGTAATGAGAGAGTAACAGTAACAGTGTACTTCTCCGAAGTCCCCGATCACAAAAACAAAAGACAATCAAGCGTAAACAAAATAACATAAGATTTCTCTCACATTTAAAGGTCTTCCATAATCTGAAAAAAAAACTATTTTCTAGTTATAATGTTTCTTGGAAGATTTCTACATGATCTGAGAACACATTTTTATGCTATTTTATCTTTACTTTAAATTTTTTTTTTTTTTTTTTTTTTTTTTTTATGTACGTTCCTCTTCAAGGGGGGCTCCTTGGCACAGTGAAGAGGCTCTTGATCTGAGGAATTAGACCTGTTGGTCTCCTTCCTCAGACCGAACCTAATTACCCCCCAATCCCCCCCTTCCCTATCCCATCCTCCCCTTCTTCCTTTCCTCCTCCTCCTCACCACCCCTCCCTTTTGCCCTTCCTCTTTTTGGCCTTTGGGATTTTTCCCACAGGCACACTAGTTCATAGGTAGGGGGAAGGGTACCGGGGTCCATCCCATTCCGTTGAGGTTCTTGGCGGTGGCGTAGTTTGCCGTGGGATCTGGATCGCCTGGGGATGTCCCGATCCCTCTCCGGTATGCTGGAGGGTGGCTTTGGGTGTCTTTCGGGCGACGGGTGTATCTCTGGAAGCCACCTTTTGGATTCCGGGGGTGGTGGCCGAAGGAGGTATGCTTAGTGGCGGATATCCGGCCGCCCTCTCTTTTGTCCACCGAGGTAGCTCGGCAGATGTGAGGTTGCTATCTCGGATTGCTGGTTTACTGGCATGAAGGGTAGGGTATGGCATGGGTTCCATGCTGCATCTGCGCTACTTGCGGTGCTGAGCTCCTCTTGGGCGCGGAGGGAGATTTCTGGCCCTTTCATTCCTCCTAGGAACTATCCCTCCCCAGTCCCCCCTTTTTTTATTTTTTTTTATTTTTATTTTCTTTTCTTCTTTCTTTTTTTTTCCTAAAAACAAAAAGAAAGAAGTAACCTAACCATGGAGTCCCAAATCCATGACCCTGCTACCCCCAGGCCCCTTATTGTTACCGCACCCTGTTCTGGCCTCGTCTTGTCTTTTGGCCACTCCCAAGGCCCCTGTACCTCTTGCTGGTGCTGTTTCCTCGCCCGCTTCAGGTACCGAGGCTTCCACTGACTCCTTCAATTTGTCTGACCTCCGCTCTCCTTTGACTATGCTTCCGGCCTCTCCCTCTATGGTGTGACGATTTTCGAATCGCCAGCCTGTCTCATGTCAGATCGACTCTGGTCCCACTCCTAAATGCCAACGACATTCTCCAGACGATGTTACTTCATTACCTTCCCATTCTACTCGGAAAAGACCGACACGTCATGCACTCCCTCTCCACACTCAGTTTCGGACCACACAATGGACTAAATTCTTTACTTTACGACTGACTTCTTCTACTGCCTATCTTTCTGACCATAGTACTGGCAAAGCGCTCCTATGCCACGTTGGTAGAGATATTTCCTTTCATGCTCTTAAGAGTGGTACACGCATCGTCACAGTCCAGAATTCTACCCAAGCTCATGATCTTTCTCTTCTTTCACATATCGATAGACACTTATGTTCTTCCCACCCGCGGGCGAAGACGATACCCTTGCAATGTGGCTCGTTTAACTTTTGACAGCTGTGAACTCCCATCCTCTGTTTATGTAGCAGGACATCGGTTACAAGTTTGGAAGGCGATCCCTACACCGCAACAGTGTAGGAATTGCTGGCAATTTGGCCACCCAGCAAAATATTGCAGATCTATAGCTGAATGCCCAGTCTGTGGTGCCGATGACCATTCATACTCTCGCCAGTTTCTCATCTCCGCCTCCAAGGGAGGCTACCCCGTGTTTCTCATTCTCGAGTTTCAAAACGTCCCTCCACTTCTGGGGTCCCATCTTCTGCAGCCTCCTCTGCGGTTGCCAGTCCCATAGTCACTCCTGTATCTAATTCTTTTGCTGTCCTGGGCTCAGACGTCCCTATTTCAACTCCTCAGTCTGTCTTCACTTCTTCATGTCCTCCCTCACAAACCCCGGTATCGACAAGACCTCGTACGACACCTCCTCCCAATCGTCCCTCTACTTCTCAGAGGCCCAAAAAAATCTCCTTTAACCCCTCCTTCCCTTCATCCACCTCCACATTTTACCTTCCCAGTCTCTGTACCTAGGTCTTCCCCTTTCACTGGCTCTGTTACAAGTGTGCAGGTTCATCCTCCTCGTACTGTGCCTTCCTCCCCTGTCCCCTCCCAAGTTTCTTCCTCTTCTGCCACCTCCCAGGTTTCTGCCTCTTCTGTCCCCTCCCACACTTCTCCAGTTCCCTCCACCCTTTCACCCCCCCTACCTTGGTACAGTCCATTACAGCTCTGATCTTTACTCAAACTCCTCCTCCTTCCATCTCCAATATTGTCTCCCATACGACGTCTCTGAACTCCGAAACACTTGAAGCAATCTCTGAATATATTGCAGAGACCAAACCATCAATGGACACTGATCCACCCTCTGTTCCTTCTCTTTCCTCTTCTCCATCTGCGCAACTCCTCTCTTCACAATGCACCGTTCCTTCGCTACTTGAACGTTTTCCTTTGCCACCGCATGTGGACTTTTCTAACCCCTCTAGTCCATAGGTACCCTTACCTGCAGATTTCAGGTATCTTTATCGTTGCCAATCATGGCCTATTTACAGTGGAATATTCGCGGCCTCAGGGGTAATCGGGGTGAGCTTCAGATGTTGCTCTCCCAGTTTTTTCCTGTTGGTGTTTGCTTACAGGAACCAAAATTACACTGCCGTTATCTATCCTATCTCAGGCTATAATTTATTGTATTCTTCAGATCCTTTTCCTGATGGGACCTTTAATGAAAGTGCCCTTCTTCTACGCACTGATATTCCGTACCATCAGCTATTTGTTCGTACTTCGCTGCATTACACAGCAGCCCGTATTCACTTGCATAGGTGGTATACACTCTGTTCTTTGTATCTCTCTCCTTCTCTGGCATTATCTATCCCAGATATTGCCTTTCTTGTTTCGTCATTACCGCCACCACTTCTGTTACTTGGCGATTTTAATGCCCATCATTTCCTCTAGGGGGTCTCACTGTGATTCCCGTGGCATTCAGTTAGAGGCTTTTCTTGCTACCCACCCCCTCCATGTTTTAAATACAGGTACTCGCACCCATTTTGATCCTCGGACTCATACTCTCTCTCTTGCATCGATCTCTCAGTCTGCTCTTCCTCTGCTGCATTAGACTTCACCTGGTCTGTTCTCCCGGATTTACATGACAGCGATCATTTGCCAATCATTCTTACTTCCCCTTCATATTCACCACCTCTTCGTAACTCACGCTGGCAATTTGATCAGGCAAATTGGAACCTTTACTCACAACTAACTGTTTTTAGTGAGGTTCCTTCTTCGTCCTCCACTGATGAGCTTTTACACCTCTTCTCGTCCTCCGTTTTAACAGCAGCTTCTCATTCTATACCCCAAACTTCGGGCAGGCATTCTCAGAAATGCGTGCCTTGGTGGTCTCCTGCTTGTGCTTGTGCAGTACGTTTGAAATGCACTGCGTGGGGCAGGTACCGGTACAATAGAACCACAGAGAGACTTATTGATTTTAAGCAGAAGCGTGTGATTGCTCGCTGTGTCATCCGTGATGCTAAATGCACTTGCTGGCGAGATTGTCTCCACCATCACCTCTGCTTCTTCTATGAGTGGTAAATATTCTCCTGACCCGGCTCCTGTTCTGCGGGTTGCCAGTGTTGATATAGCAAACCCACTAGATGTTGCCAATGAAACTGTCAATCATCTGGTCCGTATTTCTCAGGGGCTCCATCTATGCCCCTTGTTTCTTTCCTCCAAGTCTGCCAGAGAGTTAGCACCCTTGGACTTTTCTTCTCTCAGAGAAGAACAGTATAATGTGCCTTTTACACTTCAGGAACTGGAGGCAACACTCTCAGCTTGCCGATCATCGGCAGCTGGGCCCGACGACATTCATATTCGTATGCTACAACATTTACATCAGTCAGCCCTTGCAGTCCTATTATGCCTTTTCAATCTTATTTGGTCACAGGGAGTTCTTCCACAGCTGTGGAAATCTGCCATTGTTCTCCCTTTCCGCAAACTGGGTACTACGGGACATGAAGCCTCCCACTATCGTCCCATTGCTCTTACCAGTGCAGTTTGCAAAGTGATGGAATGCCTGGTAAATAGACGTTTAGTGTGGTATTTAAAGACACACAACAGTCTCTCCACTCGTCAATATGGCTTTCGTAAGGGCCGTTCTGCCATAGACCCCTTACTACGCTTGGATACGTATGTTCGTAATGCCTTTGCGAATAACCACTCGGTTATTGCCATATTTTTTGACCTTGAGAAGGCATATGACACAGCTTGGAGGTATAATATTTTGGCCCAAGCCGACTCCTTAGGCCTTCGAGGCAATCTACCATCCTTCCTTAAGAACTTTTTAACCGACAGACATTTCCATGTTCGGGTTAATAATGTGCTCTCCCCGGACTTTATCCAAGCTGAAGGTGTCCCCAGTGTTGTGTTCTGAGCACAACACTTTTTCTCCTTGCTATAAATGATTTGGCCTTTAGTCTTCCATCCAATATTTGGTCATCACTCTATGTTGATGACTTCGCTATTGCATGTGCAGGCGCTGACTGTCACCTCATTACAGTTTCTCTCCAACATGTGGTCGACTGTGTTTCCAATTGGGCCACCACACGTGGGTTTAAATTTTCCAGTACCAAAACTCATCAAATTACTTTCACTAGACGCTCTGTCATCGCCGATCATCCTTTGAACCTCTATGGCTCCCGTATCCCTGAACATGATACAGTCAGGTTTCTAGGCCTCCTCTTTGACCATAAGTTATCCTGGAAACCTCACATTACGTCTCTGAAGGCAACTTGTCACAGCTGGCTGAACCTTCTTAAAACCCTTGCTCATCTTTCATGGGGAGCTGATCGTCGAACTCTCCTTCGCCTACATTCCGCCCTCATTTTATCGAAATTTGATTTTGGTGACCAGATCCATTCAGCGGCCTCTCCTGCTACTCTCTCTAGCCTTAACCCCATTCATCACCAAGGATTATGTTTATGCCATAGTGCTTTTTGCTCTTCCCCTGTTGAGAGCCTCTATGCAAAGCGAACGTTCCATCCTTATCCGATCGCCGTGATGCCCATTGCCTTCGCTACCATGTACGCTCTCATGATCTCCGCAATCCTTCCATTTATAGAATGGTCACCGATATTAGTAGACATTCTTTATTTGTTCTCTACCCCTGTTTGCTCCGTCCCTTCTCCCTTCGCCTACATTCGCTCTTGTCTTCTCTTCAATTACCACCTCTCTATGTTCATGTAGCATCTCACTTTTCCCTACCCCCCCCTGGGAAGTTCCAGCTGTTCGAGTCTGTTCTTTCTCACTCCCTTGCTTGAAAGCCCAACTGTCTACGGTAGCTTCCCACTCTCTTTTTCTTGACCACTTCCACTCTCATTCTCATGCCATTGCAGTGTACACAGATGGCTCTAAGTCTTCTGACGGCGTAGGATTCGCAGCAGTGTTTCCGGACAGCATCGTACGAGGGCATTTACTATCTTCGGCTAGTATCTTTACTGCTGAATTGTATGCCATTCTTGCAGCACTTATCCGTATTGCATCTATGCCTATGTCATCATTTGTGGTTGTCTCAGATGCCCTTAGTGCTTTACAGGCTATACAGAAATTTGATACACCTCACTCCTTAGTCCTCCGTATCCAACTTTGGCTACGCCGCATCTCTTCCAAGCATATTGTTTTTTGTTGGGTCCCTGGTCATGTTGACGTACAGGGCAATGAACAGGCAGAAACTGCTGCGCGGTCAGTAGTACATGACCTACCAGTTTCATATAGAGGTGTTCCATTTATGGACTATTTTGCTGCAATAGCTACCCACCTTCACACCCGTTGGCAACAACGTTGGTCTACCCTACTCGGTAACAAACTTCAATCTATTAAACCGAGTATAGGTTACTGGCCGTCTTCTTGTCACCAGTGCCGAGGTTGGGAGACTACTCTCTCCGTCTTCGCATTGGCCATACTCGTCTTACTCATGGTTATCTCATGGAGAGGCGCCCTTCTCCTCTCTGTGAGAATTGTCAAATTCCATTATCGGTCAGCCACATTCTGTTAGACTGCCCACTTTATCAACGAGCACGCAGAATATACCTCCAACGTCGTCTTCACTCCGCTGCTCTCACTTTACCTTCCCTTCTCGCTGATGGACCCACCTTTCATCCGGACTCTCTCATTGACTTTTTGACAACAACTGACTTACTTCACAAACTCTGATGATACCTTCAGCCCTTTCTACCTTGATCTCTTGCTGCCCTCTACCCCCACACTATCCCCTGCCCCGCTGTTTTCTGTAACCTACTGATCATCCCTCCCCCCTTCTACCGCCCAATACCCTCGCTTCCTTCCCTACCCTGCAGCGCTGTATAGCACTTGTGGCTTAGCGCTTCTTTTTGATTATTATAATAATCAGACTCCCTTAGTGCTTTACAGGCTATACAGAAATTTGATACACCTCACCCCTTAGTCCTCCGTATCCAACTTTGGCTACGCCACATCTCTACCAAGCATAAAGATATTGTTTTTTGTTGGGTCCCTGGTCATGTTAACGTACAGGGCAATGAACAGGCAGACACTGCTGCGCAGTCAGCAGTACATGACCTACCAGTTTCATATAGAGATGTTCCATTTATGGACTATTTTGCTGCAATAGCTACCCACCTTCACACCCGTTGGCAACAACGTTGGTCTACCCTACTCGGTAACAAACTTCAATCTATTAAACCGAGTATAGGTTACTGGCCGTCTTCTTGTCACCAGTGCCGAGGTTGGGAGACTACTCTTTCCCGTCTCCGCATTGGCCATACTCGTCTTACCCATGGATATCTCATGGAGAGGCACCCTGCTCCTCTCTGTGAGAATTGTCAAGTTCCATTATCGGTCAGCCACATTCTGTTAGACTGCCCACTTTATCAACAAGCACGCAGAATTTACCTCTGTCGTCATCTTCACTCCGCTGCTCTCTCTTTACCTTCCCTTCTCGCTGATGGACCCACCTTTCATCCGGACTCTCTCATTGACTTTTTGACAACAACTGACTTACTTCACAAACTCTGATGATACCTTCAGCCCTTTCTACCTCAATCTCTTGCTACCCTCTACCTTGCATTATCCCCTGCCCCGCTGTTTTCTGTAACCTACTGATCCCCCCCCCTTCTGCCGCCCAATACCCTCGTTTCCTTTCCTACCCTGCAGCGCTGTATAGCCCTTGTGGCTTAGTGCTTCTTTTTTATTATAATAATAATAATAATTGATGTATGTTACCCTATAATGTCCTTGCTTGAAACGGGTTAATGTTTGAAGAAACTTTCCATAATCAGTAAAATATGATGTCTGGCTGTGCAGTTTTCTCCTCTTCTTTGATCTTCAGCCTTTTTTTTTCTGAAAGGCATTTAATCTCATCATATACAGTTATCTTTTTAAAAGACACTGGACTTAAGAAAGGTTGTCTATGGACTATTCATACTGTCCTGGTTGTTAAGGCTTATCTGTTTTACACCCCAATTGTTGGTTCACATAGGCACCTCAGGGTCTCTTCTTAGGCTAAGAATTTTCCTGCCAACTGACATCTTATGATAGTCTCTATTTCACTCTCCTAGCACCTGGGATACCCTCTCTTAACAGTTTAGATTTTTGTTTCAGCAACCATTAATCTTTGCAACACCAACAGACCTTAAACTTCTTGTCCCAGTAACTGTCCATTTCTCTAAGGGTGGGTTTCCCGCATCTTGACTGCCTTACCTAACTTCTGACATTGGTGTACCATGAAACTGTTTTCTTTGAATTCTAACTGCCCATGATTCAAAACAGTTTTCCCAAGCACTGTTAATATTCATGTGCTGATAGTTAATAATGGCAGAATTAAATTGTATAGTATTTTGTCAAATAGCATATGTATAGTGTTTATATTAGAAAGATGTACAATATATTTTTTAATGTTACTTGTTTTAATAATTGTTATTTTTTATAATACATGTATTCTCTATACAATATTCATTTTTCTTCAGTGCTCAGTCATTTAGGAGCAATTTTTTCTGAAAAAAAAAAAAAAAAAAAATTAGGGTGATTGTAGTCAACAGACCTTAAATCTACAGTAATTAAATTCTAATCCTCATACAGTGGTACCTCGGGATCTGACCCTAATTTGTTCCAGAAGGCTGTTCGAGTACCAAACAAATTTGTTCCGATAAGGAATCATGTAAAGTAGATTAATCCGTTTCAGACCCCCAAAAATACACTTACAAAAGCACTTACAAAAATACATAATTGTTCAAGTTCGTATCCTGAGGTGCCACTGTACGTACTCTGTTTCAAAAAGATATACATGTATAGCATAAAAATTTAGTGTAGAATATTGTTTATGTTGTTTTCATAATGGTATTGAGATTCTTTTATTGGCAAAAATACTCCTTTCTGAGAATATAGTATAACCTATAAAAAAATACAAGAATAAATTAGTATGTATTGGTGTTTTGCCTTGAGAGACTGTTTTGATTTTAAGAATCCCCAAATTATTCACATATAATTCTTTCATCTGGCATTTAATTTGTAAATTTTTTATGCATATTTATAAAAAAATAAGAACTGCATTGTTATTGAATAACAAAGTGTGTGTTAAACTTCTATGGGTGACACAGTAGTGTGTTGGGAAGGAAAGGACGGGGTGCACTTTTAAAAGGTTAGAAGAGTGGCGAGTTTATTTGTATGCAAGTCATAGTTGGTGCAGTAGGTTAACTGGTGTCTACAGTGCTTTCATAGTTTTGAGATAGGAATTTTATTGCAATTATTCAACTACTGTATTCATCTGATACTGTATATGTTAATAGCTGGAAATAATTGCCATATAATTTTTTTTAAAACAATGGCCGTCTCTCGCCAAGGCAGGGTGATCCAAAAAAGGAGAAACGAAAGCTTTTCTTCTTTTTACATTTAGTAATTTATGCAGAAAGGGTTATTAGCCCCTTACTCCTGGCATTTTAGTCACCTTTTATGACATGCATGGCTTATGGAGGAAGAATTCTTCTCCACTTCTCCTTGGAGTGCCATAGGAAATAAATTTTATCATTTATACTTGGTATATAGCGAGAAACTCGACTATAATTACCTTTGACAATCGGGTCAAGCATCAAGCTAAGGATTATTAACTGCTAAGGAAATTAATTGCTAGTTTCTCCAGAGGGTGAATCCTGACATGTTTTAAAATGCTTATCAGTAAAAATTACTGGCTTGTTTTAATACATTGCACAGTACAGTAGTATTTTTTTTTATTTGTATATATATAGTCACTGCAATTCATCCTTCATTAGTTTGTACATAGGTCATTACATGCAGTACTAACATCAAGTACAGTGGTGCCTTGGAATACGAACAGCTCAAAACTCACAAAAGCACTTACATAATTGTTTAAGTGTATTTTTGGGGGTCTGAAACGGATTAATCTAATTTACATTATTCCTTATGGGAACAAATTCATTCGGTATCGGCATTCAAACAGCCTTCTGGAACAAAATAAATTCATATCCTGAGGTACCACTGTACATACACTGTAAATCTTCAAAAGAGGGAGTAAAGTTAACTACTGTATTTTCCGGCAAATAAGGCGCAGTTTTCCCCAATAAATGTATTGAAAATCACTCTGCACCTTATATGCTCAAGATCAGGGTCAAGAGTAGGCATTGGGTTATGCTTTAGCAGTTGTTTACTTAAGTTACATTACAAATGCCTGGAAACATTGTGCCAGCAAGCAGCTGACACTCATATGCTGGAAAACATGGAATATATGCATTGATATATAACCCACATGACAGTGATTATGTGTGAATCATGGTGAAAGTGTTTCTTCCTGTTTCAAGTCACCCAGCCTCAGTGGGAGACAGCCAGCGTGTTAAAAAAAAAATAATGTATAATATATGTATAACCTTTTACTGGCTTTCCAGTGTGGGCTTTATTTCATTAATGTACTTAAAGACTTTATATGTTATTGACTGAATATGTAATGTACTTAAAAACCTCAAAATTGCAGGGGTTATACAATTTTTCTTTAGTTGGCATTTGAGGCCATACATCTATAAATATTGCTCTACTCAGGTTAAGAAGGAATGTTGACATACATAAGAAAGAATATTGATGTTCATGAGAAAGAATGTCCTGGGGAATCCAATGGACACATTTTGAACAAAATATGATGAGTTTTCAATATAAGGCTCATGTGCCAAGCTCAAAAATACTGGCAACAGAAAACATGGGCAATGCAACAACATGACTAACACGAAACCTACAAGCAACACAATAGCATGTGCCAAGCTCAAAAACATTGCCAACCCAAAATATCTGGATCCATAAAAACTTGGATAACTGAATCCCATGAATTTTGGGTTCAACTTGTACTAGATTTACACTACTGTTCTGTATATAAAATACAATACAGTTTAACCTTGATTTATGGACTAAAGGTGGAGTGTGTGTCCTGTAATGCTGACTGTCCCTTAAATTCAAATGGTAAGACTGTTCGTCCATGATCAAAACAATGAAGAACAATTCTGGAAACAAGAGCAGTTAATTTACTCAGCAGACCATAATACTAAACAGTTAACAAAAATGGACAATTATGGAGTTATATTTTTGAACTTGTCAAGACAATGGATTTTGTCTGCTAAATCTGAAGATCATTAAATTGAAGTCCATAGCACAGAGGTTGTACTTTGTTTATAAAAAAATAAAATGTATTAATATTTAACTTTTATGTACATAATACATACAGTATATGTTCTCATCACCAATAAAATAAAAGCAAGATTTTTATTATTGGTTCTTTTAGGCCAGAATTATACTTACATAGCAGGTTAGGTTCTGGGCTACTGCTGTAAAGTGAAACATGGCCTTTTTTCACTTTTAAAGACATAAAAACCTGATCACATGTTTACACTATCATACATTAAGTAAGCAACAGAGCTAGGCTTAAAAAATACACATACAGTACACACATTACTTGCCTTAATATATTTGTCCTTAGCTTATAGTGAGTGGTGAATATATTTATTGTAGGAAGTCTGAATAAATGAAGAATGGGTATAAATGAAACCCACTGTATTAGTGAAACACTGTAAATCAAGGCCCTCCTCTATTATATTCATGTAAAGATCTAAACCTGTATGGAGCCATTTGCTTTACACCTGTCCATCTCTGCTCATTGTGCTACATACTATATTAATTAAAATGGTTCAAATGTATATACAAGTAATAGTAATATAAAAATTATTTATAATTATATGACTTGGTCATTTTAAGTGTGTACACAGAATATTGTATATTGAATTCACATACTGTACATGTAATTTATATACAGTAGTATTGTGCAGGTATATTGGTAAATGTGTTTGAATTTCTATGGAGTAGATTTAAGAATGCAGTGGTAGAATGCACAGCATTAGACTGTGGTTACAGGATGATGGGAATAAGAGTGATTAGTGTAATGATGAGATAAAGAGGGTGGCAGAGAGTAAAAAAAAAAGCATGACATATATATTTATAGTTTAAAAAAAATGTAGAGAAGGCAGAGTATATGGGGAGAAAGAGGTTAAACAAATGGTGAGGGAGTGCAAGAGAGAAGAGGAAAGGTGATATCAGCAAATTTTACTGAGAATAATAAAGGGTTTTTGAGAGAGATTAATAAAAAAAGCCTGGGGAACAAATGGACTTGGTAATTAAAACTTGGATGCCTGATTAGTTACCTGTGACAGTGAAACCTACACTAATTGCCATAACTGCTACAATCCCATAACAAGACACATAGGCAACAGTTAGGCAACTTTATTCCGAAACATTTCGCCTACACAGTAGGCTTCTTCAGTCGATTACAGAAAGTAGGCAGGAACAGTAGAGATGTGAAGACGATGTAATCAGTCCATCACCCTACTGTTCCTGCCTACTTTCTGTAATCGACTGAAGAAGCCTACTGTGTAGGTGAAACGTTTCGGAATAAAGTTGCCTAACTGTTGCCTGTGTGTCTTACCTACCAACCTGTCAGTATTGTATACCATTTTGATGTTCAATCCCATAACAATCCAAAAACTCCAGGGTTTCCAAATTTAGCAAACTTATTACCCATACTAGAATCAAATGTCACATGATGTCCACCTGCAACCTGCCTCACCTTGTTATGCACAACCTGTCTTGGACCCATATGTAAGACTTCCCCATCCCCCTCCCCCTTTTTTTTTGGGGGGGGGTTTACTCTGTATTACGACTGAAGCCACTCATGGTGAATCATTTCCTTTAATAAATATCTTGAACTGTACATAAGTATCATTATCCACTTGTCTGTCTGTACTCGCCTAGTTGAGGTTGCAGGGGTCGACTCCAAGCTCCTGGCCCCATACCATACCACTGACAACCAGCTATCAGCTCAATGTGATGTTGTGAATGCACACAGGACCTAAGGGTTCTGGTTAGAACTTTGAAGCCAAGATAACGGTGTGTCTCCAATAAAACTAATAGAATTGTTGGCTTCATATCAAGAAGTATAAATAATAGAAAATCTAAGGTTGTACAGTACTTTATGTATTCCTTGGATTATGCTGCTCAGTTCTGGTCTACTCCTTTCTTGACTTTGACAGCAACTCTGCTTTGCTACATGAACTTTAGTGATACTTCCTCTAGCACTCCTCACAACCCTTTCTAACTCCCTCTGTTGTTCACTCCACCCTTGCTCCTGTATAATTCTGCACTATCCCCTGCCCCACTGTACTGTATGACCCTTGTTGGTGTAGCACTTCCTTCTGATTATAATAATCAGTTCTGGTCTCCCTATAATAGAAATGACATAACTGCAATGGAAAACATACATAAATAGATGAAGTTAATAATAAATTACAATAAATTTTTGTATGCTGTATATAACACATACTCGCACAGAGAGGAGCTATGACTTCATTGTGCAATCACAAATTGGTGAGTACACATACACAACTTTTGCATTCCATTTTTCATTTTTTTTTTTTAAACCTTTAATTTCTCCATATAATCCTCCCTCTGTATATCACTTCTACATTGTAAAAACCTTTCATTTGCCAACTTTTTCTAGCTTACCACCTTTACCTCATCATTCTGCCAATCACTCCTCTTCCCTCCTATACCTAAAAACTTCTGTTGCACACCCTACCATACTTCCTCTACCCCTTCCTCATTACTCTCTCTAGCCCACCTTTCTCTCAACTGTTGTTTATATTGTACCCTATCTCCTTTAATTTATAAACTTTTACTTCTCTCTTACTTAATGATGACATTCTCCATGTATCCTATCTACCTTTTACTTTCATTGTAGCAACCACTAAATAACTGCTAGGTAAGGTTTGTCAGGAAACTGGACAAATGTTTTCTGATGCAGGTCTTAGTCATATGATGACCTGCAGCTGGAGCTTTTGGTCATCTGACCAAGGTCTTCTGCTGGCTTATCCTGTCCAGCTCTTTAGATATTAAGGTTATAATTTTTTTTTTTTTTTAACAAGTCGGTCGTTTCCCTCCTGAGGCAGGGTGACCCAAAGAGAAAGAAAAATCCAAAAAGAAAGAAAAAATTTTCATCATTCAACACTTTCACCATCACTCATACATAAACACTGTCTTTGCAGGGGCGCTCAGATACGACAGTTTAGATATCCCTAAAAACTGCCAATATCCCAAACCCCTCCTTTAATGTGCAGGCATTGTACTTCCCACTTCCAGGACTCAAAGCTTGGCTAACCAGTTTCCCTGAATCCCTTCACAAAATATTATCCTGCTCACAATCCAACAGCTCGTCAGGTCCCAAAAACCATTCGTCTCCATTCACTCCTATCTAACATGCTCACACATGCTTGCTGGAAGTCCAAGCCCCTCGCACACAAAACCTCCTTTACCCCCTCCCTCCAACCTTTTTGAGGACAACCCCTACCCCGCCTTCCCTCCACTACAGATTTATACACTCTCAAAGTCATTATCGTTCCCTGAAGGAGAATGTAGAATATAACTTTGTTAAATCTGTGTCTAGCATTAGGAAAATATTAGGAGAGAAGTAAATAATGAAAATGACTGTTATAGGAATGCAGTTAGAAGTCTGAGTAGATCTACAACCCACTAGCAGCGCTGTATAGCCCTTGTGGCTTAGCGCTTCTTTTTGATTATAATAATAATACAACCCACTATGATAAAATGAATGTAGATAAGTATGTTTATGGAGCAACTTGCAATGTGAACAGACTGACTGATGTTGTAGTGGCCAGGCTTAGGCTTGGTTACAAGTACGTACTTCTGGCAGTTTGGGAGACATGCAGATAATGATCAAACTAAATGCAAATTATGTGGTCAGGCATATGGTCACTGTCTTGAGCACTATGTGCTTAACTGTCCACTTATTGAGGAATACAGATATAGACAGTATAATAACCTATGTGACATGTCAAGATATCTTATTAATGAAAATAAGATACCAAATATACTAAGCAAATTTCCTAAATTTGCTTGTAACAGATAAGTGAACTGTAGATATGTAGATGCAAATCCAAATGTACACCTGTTAACTCTTTTGGGGCCTAGTTCCTAGGCCTTTTGTGTATCCATATGCTCTTGCACTACTGTCCACAGGATGGATATGGGGTGCACAATAAACTAGCCACTTCGGTGGCAAAATCTAAAAATCTCTACTACTCTCTCATTTGCTCTCTTTTTACATTGCTTCACCACTCTCTTAACCTCTCTTTTTCTCTCCATATACTCCTCCCTCCTTGTATCACTTCTACTTTGTAAAAACCCCTCATATGCTAACTTTTTCTCTCTTACTACTCTCTTTACATCATTCCACCAATTGCTCTTCTTCCCTCCCACATCCACTTTCCTGTAACCACAAACTTCTGCTGAACACTAACACTATACATGTATTCTTAAACTTACCCCATACATCTTCTACCCCATTGCCTATACTCACACTAGCCCATCTGTCCTCCAGCAGTTGTTTATATCTTACCCTAACTGCCTCCTCCTTTAGTTTATAAACCTTCACCCCTCTCTTACTTGCTGGTTTCCATTTTCCTTGTATCCCATCTACCTTTTACTGTCACTGTAGCTACAACTAAAAAGTGATCTGATATACCTGTGGCCCCTCTATAAAGATGTACATCCTGAAGTCTACCCAACAGTCTTTTATCTATCAATACACAGTCCAACAAACTACTGTCATTATGCCCTATATCATATCTTGTATACGTACTTATTTATCTCCTTTTTCTTAAAATATGCGTTACCTATAACCAAACTCCTTTCTATACAACATTCAATCAAGTGCTCCCCATTATCATTTACATTTGGCACCCCAAACTTACCTACCACACCCTCTCTAAATGCTTCTCCTACTTTAGCATTTAGGTCCCCTACCACAATTACTCTCTCACTTGGCTCAAAAGTTCCCTCACACTCAGTCAACATCTCCCAAAATCTCTCTCTCTCTCCTCTACACTCCTCTCTTCTCCAGGTGCATACATGCTTATTATGACCGACTTTTCACATTCGATCCTTATTTTAATCCACATAATCCTTGAATTTATACATTTATATTCCCTCTTCTCTCTCCATAACTGATCCTTCAACATTACTGCTACCCCTTCCTTAGCTCTAACTCTCTCAGATACTCCTGACTTAATCCCATTTATTTCTCACCACTGAAACTCCCCTACCCCCTTCAGCTTTGTTTTACTTAGGGCTAGGACATCCAACTTCTTTTCATTCATAACATTAGCAATCATTTCTTTCTTATCATCCTCACTACATCCACGCACATTCAAACATCCCAATTTTATAAAGTTTTTCTTTTCCTTGTTTTTAGTAGTTCATACAGGAAAAGGGTTACTAACCCATTGCTCCCAGCATTTAGCCGCCTCCTACAACATGCATAGCTTATGGAGGAAGAATTCCCATGGAGATAAGCAGAAATAAACAAGAACAAGAGCTAGGAAGAAAACAGAAGAAAACCCAGAGGGGTTAGTATATATATGCTTGTATACATGCATGTGTAATGTGACCTAAGTGTAAGTAGAAGTAGCAAGACATACTTACAACCTTGCATGTTTATGAGACAGAAAAAGACACCAGGAATCCTACCATCATGCAAAACGATTACAGGCTTGTGTTTCACACTCATTTGGTAGGACGGTAGTACCTCCTTGGGTGGTTGCTGTCTACCAGTCAACTACCTAATTATAACTATTAATTATATTAAATAAATATATCCGGCATTCCTCTAAAAATATGCACAATTGTTATTACAGTTATACCCCAGTTTTTGTCCTTAATCCATTCCAGAAGGTCGGCCGAAATCCGAAAGCCGAAGTAGTAATATTTCCCATAAGAAATAATGTAAATCCAATTAATCTGTTCCAGACACCCAAAAATATTAACAAAAAATACATTTTATAGAGAATAACTATAGTTTTACATATAGATAACAATGAGCAATAAATATAAATGACTAATTTTAATGATAAATGAATATCACATACCTTTATTGAAGATTCTTGTTGGCGTATGAAAGAAGGCGAGGAGGGGAGAGGGAGTTGAGGTTATTGTTTGGAAGGGGAATCCCCCTCCATAAGGACTTCAGGTATCACAGCCCTATCCGGGGTTACTTCCCTTCTTCGTCTAACTGTTTTTCATTGATCCACACCAACAACAAATTCTCCACATCCTCAATTGTTTGTGATCTCTGTTTTGTTAGCATATTTACCCCTTTTGCAACACAGCTTCCTTGATTTCTGCTTTCTTCGCCAGGATGGAACTGATTGTTGATGTCGACTTCCCATACATCCTGGTGAGCTCGGCCACACGTACGCCACTTTCATAATTTGCTACAAGTTCTTTCTTGAATTCTATCGTGTTTCTCACCTTCTTTACCAAAGGGCTGGCACTCTGAACTTTCTTTGGCCCCATGGTGGCTTATTTCACAGTCGCAATCAATAAACAAGCACAAAAAACAATGGATGAACGTGCGGAGTATTGCTAACTCAATGAGAGACAGAGGCAGACTGAGTCTGGTATGTGTGAGAAGTAGCGTCCCGGGCGAGTGGACGTGTCTGATACAGACGATTTCCGAGCAGATGTACGAAACCTGGGGGAAAATTTCGTTGAAAAAAGTGCTTGGTCTAATTGGCTTAAGGCCGGCCCTGAGAGTAAGTGCTAAGCCCATAGGGCTCATACAGTGATTGGTCCACCTGGAGAACATTTTGAGGATCTACAACCCCACAGCCCGGTCCCAGACCAGGTCTCCTGGTGGATAGCTTAATCAAACCTGACTGTTTGTGTTAGCCACACAGGGTCCGTCACCTGTACCGCAATCCAGCTGATCAGGAACAGACTTTAGAAACCTATCAAGTTACTTCTCAAAGACAACCAGGGGTCTGTTAATAATACCCACCATGTATGTATGGCAGGAGACTGCTGAAGGAATCTTGGGCCTCTTACATGCATCATGTTTCCCTTAGTGTACTAATGGCTTCCTGCTTTTACTGGAGATATAATGCACTGTTTGGCGAGTCTCTCATGTGCGTAGGGAATAATTTCCATGTGCAGCTTTAGGACCAGTCCCTCTAAAAATTATAATGCATCTTTCTCGCCTGAGTTCCAGGGAGCACAGGTCAAGGGACTTGAAAGTTCCCAGTAATTTATGTGCTTGACCAAATTTATAAGCGCAGTGATAAGTTTAGATTTAGAAAGGATATAGGAAAGTACTGGTTTCGAAATAGGTTAGTTGATGAGTGGAACGGTCTGCCTAGTAGGGTTATCGAACCTAAAACTTTGGGTAGTTTCAAATTTAGGTTGGAATAATACATGAGGATGTGTAGGAGAGAGGGAGATTTCTTCCCAGTAAAAGTAGGTCTTAGGGATGTGTAATGCCACCGTGGTTGTTTAATGTATGTATTTATGGATGGGGTTGTAAAAGAAGTAAATGCTAGGGTGTTGGAGAGAGGGGTGGGATTAAATTATAAGGAATCAAATACAAAATGGGAGTTGACACAGTTACTTTTTGCTGATGATACTGTGCTTTTGGGAGATTCTAAAGGAAAGTTGCAAAGGTTAGTGGACGAGTTTGGGTGTGTAAAGGTACAAAGTTGAAAGTGAACACAGATAAGAATAAGGTGATGAGGGTATCAAATGATTTAGATAAATAAAAATTGGATATCACATTGGAGAGAGGGAGTTTGGAAGAAGTGAATGTTTCCAGATATTTGGGAGTTGACTTGTCAGCGGATGGGTTTATGAAGGATGAGGTTAACCATAGAACTAATGAAGAAAAAAAGGTGAGTGGTGCACTGAGGTATCTGTGTCATCCATGGAGGCAAAGGGAATGTATGAAAGTATAGTGGTACCAACACTCTTGTATGGGTGTGAAGCTTGGGTTGTAAATGCTGCAGTGAGGAGGTGGCTGGAGGCAGTGGAGATGTCCTCTCTAAGGGCAGTATGTGGTGTAAATATTATACAGAGAATTCGGAGTGTGGAAATTAGGAAGTGTGGAGTTACTGTAAGTATTAGTCAGAGGGCTGAAGAGGGGTTGTTGAGGTGGTTTGGTCATTTAGAGAGAATGGAACAAAGTAGAATGACTTGAAGAGCGTATAAATCTGTAAGGGAAGGAAGGCGAGATAGGGGTCATCCTCGAAAAGGTTGGAGGGGGTGGGTAAAGGAGGTTTTGTGGGCGAGGAGTTTGGACTTCCAGCATGCATGTGTGAGCGTGTTAGATAGGAATGGAGACGAATGGTTTTTGGGACCTGACGAGCTGTTGGAGTGTGAGCAGGGTAATATTTTGTGAAGGGATTTAGGGGAACCAGCTAGCCAGAATTAAGTCCTGGAAATGGAAAGTACGATGCCTGCACTTTAAAGGATATTAGTAGTTTGGAGTGACTTCTAAACTGTCATATCTGAGCACCTCTGCAAAGACAGTGATTGTGTTTGAGTGATGGTGAAAGTATTGTATGATGATGAAAGTTTTTTTTGTTTCTGTTTGGGTTTTTTCTTTTTTTTTGGTTCACCCTGCCTAAGTGGGAAATGGCCGATATGTTAAAAAAAAAAAATACATGAGTGAGAGGGTTTGGATTTGAGTGGAATTTGCACTTGAGTAAATAGATTTATCAAAGTTTATTGCTCGTAGCATTGAAAATGGGTTGGGCAAATATTCTGATAGTGGATTGGATTTGTGAAGGACCTGCCCAGTATGGGCCAACTGGCCTCCTGCTGTGTTCCCTCTTTATTATGTTATGTTCTTAAGGTTCTCTGTACATTCTCTAGGTCTGCAATTTCTCCTGACTTAAAAAGGGGCTGTTAAGGCAATTAAGCTCACTCCAAGGAAGAAAGAAAATCCAATTCCTTGGATCAAGAGCTGACAAGAACTGTTATGTACAAAGCCAATATTGTCAAAGTACCACACTTGGATCCACTTCGAGGACAGCGTGAAGCAAGCTTCTATCCCACAAGACAGGAAGAAAGCAGCAACTTCAATCTGGCCGTACCCTTCTCCAGAACATCACTTCATCTGAAATCATTTATCCCCAGGATGACTTGAGTTTGGAACACGTTCATACAGCATTATGATGTCAACGAGATAAAGTCAGTTGATCAGATGAAAATGCTGGCCCCACAGATGGCTCCAACTTCATCCTGTTCCCTACTTGTATTTTTCATAACAATATGAGCTGATGTAGGTAACAGCTCTTAGCTTGTCAATAAAGTTAGGAATCCTTAACCTGTAAATAGCTTGTCAATAAAACTAGGGATCCTTAACCTAACCTTGTCAAACCCTGTGTAAAAAAACAAAAAATCAGTTGTGAGTGAGTAGATACTTCAAAGGCAGTGTCACGATGCCAGTAAAAAGCTCTTGATCTAAAGAACTGGAGCTATTCGCCTCTTCCTTGGAATGAATGCCATTGCTTTTCATCACTCTGGCACTACGACCCCTACCAATTTAACGCTCCCCTTTGATTGTAATAAAGTAAATGAGTGGAACAAACTCGCAGTCAGCATCAATGAAACAAGTATTTTAGCAAGTTTAATTAGGTACAGATGCCAGGACCAGATTAAGGCATGGGTTTTAGAGGCTGCAGCTCTGGAAATCTATCTGATCCCTTGTGACATGCCCACTATGGCAATCCCTGTTGACACAGATAACCCAGGACTGAAAGGTCCCAGTCTCACAAGTGACCCTTAGGAAACATTTCTTTCTGAGAATTAATCTACCATGCAGGAAACTTATCTGCATGCACAAACTAGAATAGACTTACTTGGCTGTGGAGTCTGTGCTAACTAGAAATCTCCTAATTCTACCCAAGCATTCTAGACTTCAAGGACCTCTCTCTTACTTCAAGATGCCACATGCACAGGACTGATTCCTGCAAATATTCCAATGGTATTAGTATCTCCAGCCTGCACCTTGAGGGTCCCTGAATTCAGTGGGTATTCCCTATTCAGTATTTATACAGATAGTGGAACACTAAGCTTCTGGACTGATCTTTAGGCAGCGGATATTCTACTGTAAATAAGCCATGATCTGCGAAGAGAAAGATACAAGAAATCTAAAGGTAGAGGTATCTACAGATTAGAAGGGTTAGAAAAGTTCACATGTGGAGGCAGTGGAAAATGTTGAAGCAGCGAAGGATTACGACGCTGCAAAGAAAGGAGTTATGCAGATGGAGAAGAGTGAAGAGGAGGAACAGGAGGTGGAGCAGTGTCCATCAATGGTCTAGTCTCCTCAATATATTCTGAGATAGCATCAAGTGTTTCAGAGGACAAGGACATTGTATGTGGGACGATATTGGAGATGGAAGGAGGAGGGTGAATAAAGGTTGGGGAAACGATGGACTGTACCAAAGTTGGGGGGGATGAAAGACTAGAGGGAACTGGAGAAGAAGCTTGGGAGGGGACAGAAGAAGCGACCTGGGAGGAGGCAAAAGAGGAAAAAGCTAGGGAGAGAACAGGAGAGGAAGCGACCTAGGAGGGGACAGGGGAGGAAGCAGCTTGGGATGGGACAGGAGAGGAAGCGACCTGGGAGGGGACGGGGGAGGAAGCAACTTGGGAGGGGACAGGAGAGGAAGCGACCTGGGAGGGGACGGGGGAGGAAGCAACTTGGGAGGGGACAGGAGAGGAAGTGACCTGGGAGGGGACAGGGGAGGAAGCAGCCTGGGAGGGGACAGGAGAGGAAGTGACCTGGGAGGGGACGGGGGAGGAAGCAACTTGGGAGGGGACAGGAGAGGAAGTGACCTGGGAGGGGACAGGGAGGAAGCAACTTGGGAGGGGACAGGAGAGGAAGCGACCTGGGAGGAGACGGGGGAGGAAGCAGCTTGGGAGGGGACAGGAGAGGAAGCGACCTGGGAGGGGACGGGGGAGGAAGCAACTTGGGAGGGGACAGGAGAGGAAGCGACCTGGGAGGGGACGGGGGAGGAAGCAACTTGGGAGGGGACAGGAGAAGAAGCAACCTAGGAGGGGACAGGGGAGGAAGCAGCTTGGGAAGGGACAGGAGAGGAAGTGACCTGGGAGGGGACAGGGGAGGAAGCAGCTTGGGAGGGGACAGGAGAGGAAGCGACCTGGGAGGGGACGGGAAGGAAGCAACTTGGGAGGGGACAGGAGAGGAAGTGACCTGGGAGGGGACAGGGAGGAAGCAACTTGGGAGGGGACAGGAGAGGAAGCGACCTGGGAGGAGACAGGGGAGGAAGCAGCTTGGGAGGGGACAGGAGAGGAAGCGACCTGGGAGGGGACAGGGGAGGAAGCAACTTGGGAGGGGACAGGAGAGGAAGCGACCTGGGAGGGGACGGGGGAGGAAGGAGCTTGGGAGGGGACAGGAGAGGAAGCGACCTGGGAGGGGATGGGGGAGGAAGCAGCTTGGGAGGGGACAGGAGAGGAAGCGACCTGGGAGGGGACGGGGAGGAAGCAGCTTGGGAGGGGACAGGAGAGGAAGAGACCTGGGAGGGGATGGGGGAGGAAGCAGCTTGGGAGGGGACAGGAGAGGAAGCAGCTTGGGAGGGGACAGGAGAGGAAGCGACCTGGGAGGGGACGGGGAGGAAGCACCTTGGGAGGGGACAGGAGAGGAAGCGACCTGGGAGGAGACAGGGAGGAAGCAGCTTGGGAGGGGACAGGAGGAAGTGACCTGGGAGGGGATGGGGAGGAAGCAGCTTGGGAGGGGACAGGAGAGGAAGCGACCTGGGAGGGGACGGGGAGGAAGCAGCTTGGGAGGGGACAGGAGAGGAAGCGACCTGGGAGGGGACGGGAAGCAGCTTGGGAGGGGACAGGAGAGGAAGCGACCTGGGAGGGGACGGGGAGGAAGCAGCTTGGGAGGGGACAGGAGAGGAAGTGACCTGGGAGGGGACGGGGAGGAAGCAGCTTGGGAGGGGACAGGAGAGGAAGTGACCTGGGAGGGGACAGGGAGGAAGCAGCTTGGGAGGGGACAGGAGAGGAAGCGACCTGGGAGGGACGGGGAGGAAGCAGCTTGGGAGGGGACAGGAGAGGAAGCGACCTGGGAGGGGACGGGGAGGAAGCAGCTTGGGAGGGGACAGGAGAGGAAGCAACCTGGGAGGGGACGGGGGAGGAAGCAACTTGGGAGGGGACAGGAGAGGAAGCGACCTGGAAGGGGACGGGGGAGGAAGCAGCTTGGGAGGGGACAGGAGAGGAAGCGACCTGGGAGGGGACGGGGGAGGAAGCAGCTTGGGAGGGGACAGGAGAGGAAGCGACCTGGGAGGGGACGGGGAGGAAGCAGCTTGGGAGGGGACAGGAGAGGAAGCGACCTGGGAGGGGACGGGGAGGAAGCAGCTTGGGAGGGGACAGGAGAGGAAGCAACCTGGGAGGGGACGGGGGAGGAAGCAGCTTGGGAGGGGACAGAAGAGGAAGCGACCTGGGAGGGGACGGGGAGGAAGCAACTTGGGAGGGGACAGGAGAGGAAGCAACCTGGGAGGGGACGGGGAGGAAGCAGCTTGGGAGGGGACAGGAGAGGAAGCGACCTGGGAGGGGACGGGGAGGAAGCAGCTTGGGAGGGGACAGGAGAGGAAGCGACCTGGGAGGGGATGGGGAGGAAGCAGCTTGGGAGGGGACAGAAGAGGAAGCGACCTGGGAGGGGACGGGGAGGAAGCAACTTGGGAGGGGACAGGAGAGGAAGCGACATAGCCCCACTCCACAAAGGGGGCAGTAAAGCAACAGCAAAGAACTACAGACCAATAGCACTAACATCCCATATCATAAAAATCTTTGAAAGGGTCCTAAGAAGCAAGATCACCACGCATCTAGAAACCCATCAGTTACACAACCCAGGGCAACATGGGTTTAGAACAGGTCGCTCCTGTCTGTCTCAACTATTGGACCACTACGACAAGGTCCTAAATGCACTAGAAGACAAAAAGAATGCAGATGTAATATATACAGACTTTGCAAAAGCCTTCGACAAGTGTGACCATGGCGTAATAGCGCACAAAATGCGTGCTAAAGGAATAACAGGAAAAGTCGGTCGATGGATCTATAATTTCCTCACTAACAGAACACAGAGAGTAGTCGTCAACAGAGTAAAGTCCGAGGCAGCTACGGTGAAAAGCTCTGTTCCACAAGGCACAGTACTCGCTCCCATCTTGTTCCTCATCCTTATATCCGACATAGACAAGGATGTCAGCCACAGCACCGTGTCTTCCTTTGCAGATGACACCCGAATCTGCATGACAGTGTCTTCCATTGCAGACACTGCAAAGCTCCAGGCAGACATCAACCAAATCTTTCAGTGGGCTGCAGAAAACAATATGAAGTTCAACGATGAGAAATTTCAATTACTCAGATATGGTAAACATGAGGAAATTAAATCTTCATCAGAGTACAAAACAAATTCTGGCCACAAAATAGAGCGAAACACCAACGTCAAAGACCTGGGAGTGATCATGTCGGAGGATCTCACCTTCACGGACCATAACATTGTATCAATCGCATCTGCTAGAAAAATAACAGGATGGATAATGAGAACCTTCAAAACTAGGGAGGCCAAGCCCATGATGACACTCTTCAGGTCACTTGTTCTATCTAGGCTGGAATATTGCTGCACACTAACAGCACCTTTCAAGGCAGGTGAAATTGCCGACCTAGAAAATGTACAGAGAACTTTCACGGCGCGCATAACGGAGATAAAACACCTCAATTATTGGGAGCGCTTGAGGTTCCTAAACCTGTATTCCCTGGAACGCAGGAGGGAGAGATACATGATTATATACACCTGGAAAATCCTAGAGGGACTAGTACCGAACTTGCACACGAAAATCACTCATTACGAAAGCAAAAGACTTGGCAGACGATGCACCATCCCCCCAATGAAAAGCAGGGGTGTCACTAGCACGTTAAGAGACCATACAATAAGTGTCAGGGGCCCGAGACTGTTCAACTGCCTCCCAGCACACATAAGGGGGATTACCAACAGACCCCTGGCAGTCTTCAAGCTGGCACTGGACAAGCACCTAAAGTCAGTTCCGGATCAGCCGGGCTGTGGCTCGTATGTTGGTTTGCGTGCAGCCAGCAGCAACAGCCTGGTTGATCAGGCTCTGATCCACCAGGAGGCCTGGTCTCAGACCGGGCCGCGGGGGCGTTGACCCCCGGAACTCTCTCCAGGTAAACTCCAGGGAGGGGACGGGGAGGAAGCAGCTTGGGAGGGGACAGGAGAGGAAGCGACCTGGGAGGGGACGGGGAGGAAGCAGCTTGGGAGGGGACAGAATAAGGTACTGTACGAGAAGGAGGAGGAAGAACCTCCACACTCGTAACAGTTAGAGGTGAAGAACCAGGTACAGAGACTGGGTAGGAAAAATGTGTAGATAGAAGAAAGGAAGGAGGGGGTTAATGGAGATTTTAATAATGGAGGATTTTTTGGACTTCGGAGAAGTAGAGGGACGATGAGGTGGTGGTGTTGTACGAAGTCTTGTAGACACAGAAACAAGTCAGTGAGAAGAGGAAGAGGTGAGAACAGAATGAGGTGTCGAAAATTATCATTAGTATAAGCATGGGGAAGCGCTAAACCCGTAGGGTTATACAGCAATGAGGTGCCGAGGTAGGAACCTCTGAGTCCAGGCTTCTACAACACAAATGTCATCTAAGATTTGTTAAGTTATACCATAAATTAAGGAAAGATCTTGGACTTCACCTTATGAAGACAAAACAAATGAGACAGTAATTATAGACAAGGTAGATTATAGTGGAAAAACGAACAGGCTATCATTACTGTAATCATGGGTCGCTAAACCCGTACGATTTCCCTTGAGGGGAACATGTTATCAGAAGACAGGGGAACTTACATGCCTCTTAAACTTATTATTTCCAAACTACGTCGGTTTGTTTGTTGGGTTTATCAGGGCCACTGACAGCTTACTCAGTATCGAACCCGACTTCCCGATGTTAAGATAAAATTAGTTGCTCAAAGCTGTGCCATGACAGGAACAAAAGTTCCTTTGTAAATAGAAATAGAAACTTGAAGGCTCCAATTAAATCCGGTGGAAATCACATGCCAAGTCCCAGCAGAGCGGGACCGCCACCTGAATTCAGTAACCGGCTTCCCACCGAAGACCGTTAAAGAGTTATCCTAAGAGCGGTAAAAATGGACCTGGTTAAAAGTGAGCCGATGACCAGGTGTTCCTCCTGTAAATTGCCCGGCGGGCAAAATAGACGAGGACAAGCGTCCCAGACAGAGCGGAGTATATTTGTCACTGATACTCAGGCGAGAGCAAGACGTCCACACCCGCCGAAGGCTGGTGCAGGAGTCCTCCAAGCTACTGTTTTTTGTTAGGTGGGTTTTAAGGGTTCTGGCCTCCAGCATCAACTTATTTACAAACGAATCCGGTCGGTGGAATTTCTTGGACTCGATAAATTTCCACAGCAGCCCCGGGGCCTCCTCCAGCTGGAGGGACTCCAGAGATGTTAATAATAATAATAATAATAATAATAATAATAATAATAATAATAATAATAATAATAATAATAATAATAATAATAATAATAATAATAATAATAATAATAATAATAATAATAATAATGATAATAATAATAATAATAATAATATCTTTATTTGCCATACTCCTTGCACTCAAATGTGTCTGTGTATCTAAGGTTGACACTTTAATTGTAACTGATTCTCTGTCATCCATAAATGCTCTCAACTCATTAAGTATAAATTGTGGCATGCTTGTGTCAGGAGCCAGACACAGGTATGGTAAGATTGTGGACAGTGGAGTCAGAGTGCACATAATGTGGCTTCCATCTCACATTGGTCTTCAGATGCATGATAGAACTGATAAATTGGCTAAGCTGTATGCTTTCAAAGAGGGAGTAGATTACAATCTTGAGTTGTCAGTTAGCAGTTTGAGAACAATAATACGAAAAGAACTTCAAATGAACTTTATTGACTTAAGACTTAGGGAGATTGACACAAGTAAGTAAGTAAGTAAGTAAGTTTATTCAGGTATACACAAATACAGTTACATAGAATTATCATACATAGCAGCATATGTGTAGAGAACCTAGGATAACCCAAAAAAGTCATCATCATTCTATCATTCTATCATGCAGGAGGAGCCACATGTCTATGGTGCATCCAACAAGATAAGCAGACTCTTGGATGTCACTACTGCCCGGCTCCGGCTGGGTTACAAGTATCTTTGGCAGGTTAAATCACCACCACCAGATGTAGACCAAACGAAATGTAAACTTTGCCAGATGGACTATTGTCACACATTGCATCATTATGTACTGGAGTGTGATAAAATTAATGAATTTAGAAACAACTCACTCAGAAATGTTCAAGAAATGGCAAAGTATTTTATCCACAGTGGTATATTGCAGACCATTCTGGAGAAATACCCTGACTTTGCTAGCTGTAAATAAAGCATTACCACATGTGTGCATGTGTGTGTGAGTGTGTGTGTGTGTGTGTGTGTGTGTGTGTGTGTGTGTGTGTGTGTGTGTGTGTGTGTGTGTGTGTGTACTCACCTAGTTGAGTTTGCGGGGGTCGAGTCCGAGCTCCTGGCCCCGAGCGTGTGTGTGTGTGTGTGTGTGTGTGTGTGTGTGTGTGTGTGTACTCACCTATTTGTACTCACCTATTTGTGGTTGCAGGGGTCGATTCATAGCTCCTGGCCCCGCCTCTTCACTGATTGCTACTAGGTCCTCTCTCTCCCTGCTCCATGAGCTTTATCATACCTCGCCTTAAAACTATGTATGGTTCCTGCCTCCACTACTTCACTTTCTAGGCTATTCCACGGCTTGATTACTCTATGACTGAAGAAATACTTCCTAACATCCCTTTGATTCATCTGAGTCTTCAACTTCCAATTGTGACCTTTTTGTGTCTGTGTCCCATCTCTGGAACATCCCGTCTTTGTCCACCTCGTCTATTCCGCGCAGTATTTTATATGTCGTTATCATGTCTCCCCTGACCCTCCTGGCCTCCAGTGTCGTCAGGCCGATTTCCCTCAACCTTTCTTCGTAGGACAATCCCCGTAGCTCTGGGACTAGTCTTGTTGCAAACCTTTGCACTTTCCCTAATTTCTTGACGTGCTTGACTAGGTGTGGATTCCAAACTGGTGCTGCATACTCCAGTATGGGCCTGACGTAAATGGTATACAGAGTCTTGAACGAATCCTTACTGAGGTATCGGAACGCTATCCGTAGGTTTGCCAGGCGCCCGTATGCTGCAGCAGTTATCTGATTGATGTGCGCCTCAGGAGATATGCTCGGTGTTATACTCACCCCCAGATCTTTTTCCTTGAGTGAGGTTTGCAGACTTTGGCCATCAGTAGTATATTCATGTTAGGTAAGACACATATGCAACAGTTAGGTATCTTTATTATGAAACGTTTCGCCTACACAGTAGGCTTCTTCAGTCAAGTACAGAAAAGTTGATAGAAGCAGAAGATACTTGAAGACGATGTAATCAGTCCATCACCCTTAAAGTTTTGAGGTGGTCAGTCCCTCAGTCTGGAGAAGAGCATTGTTCCATAGTATGAAACAATATGGAGAAGAAGTGACAGGATGGAGCTTTTTATAGCGCCATGAGGCGAGACGTAGGCCACTAGGAGAGGTAAGAACTCAGATGTTGAGAAGTCAGGTCCCTCTCAAATCCAGCCTGACTTCTCAACATCTGAGTTCTTACCTCTCCTAGTGGTCTACGTCTCGCCTCATGGCGCTATAAAAAGCTCCATCCTGTCACTTCTTCTCCATATTGTTTCATACTATGGAACAATGCTCTTCTCCAGACTGAGGGACTGACCACCTCAAAACTTTAAGGGTGATGGACTGATTACATCGTCTTCAAGTATCTTCTGCTTCTATCAACTTTTCTGTACTTGACTGAAGAAGCCTACTGTGTAGGCGAAACGTTTCATAATAAAGATACCTAACTGTTGCATATGTGTCTTACCTAACAACCTGTCGGTATTTTATACCATTTTAATGTTCAGTATATTCATGTGATCTAGAGACACTGGCGGATTCCGGGATAATGACCATGGAAAAGAATGTGATAATGGGGGGTCAGCATAACCTCAGGGCTGTCAGGGTACAAGTTTAATATGTTTAATCATCCCCCAAGGGGATAGAGAGACTTATTCCTGTGCATTACTAAGTAGGGACAGAAGTAGAACAAAGGATTCAGGTGACCGGGTGGCAGATTCCAGGATAATGAGTGTGGAAAAGAATGTGATACTCGGGGACAGCATAACCTCAGGGCTGTCAGGGTACAAGTTTAATATGTTTAATCATCCCCCAAGGGGATAGAGAGACTTATTTCTGTGTATTACTAAGCAGAAAAAGGTAGATAATGATCACTTCTGACTCCCCAAACTCTATCACCCTGATAGATGGGAGAGGCAGTACAAAGGATTCAGGTGACTGGGTACAAGCTTGCCATCTCCGAGGGAGTTCTCTCCCCCCCGGTCACTGACGCAAGTGCTACTTCTTCCCAACACCGACTGGTTCAAAGAATGCGGTAATGGAAGACAGCTTAGCCTCGAACTGTCAGAGGACTTAATGACTGGGTGGGTTCACCACGCATCCCCCAAAGGGGATAGAGAAGTTTATTTCCGTGATGGGAGGCTAGTACAAAGGATTCAGGTACCTGGGTACGACTTAATAATTGGGTGGGTTCTCTGAGGGAGTGTTTCAGCGAGCCTGCTGGTCTAGTTCACTGCTTCTTTCGGGGTCATCGGCGTGATTATCTGGCTGCGCTCGCTCTCCGGGTACATCGGGGGCATCTGTGTGAAAGAAAAGGATAATAACCTAATTTTTCAAAGGTGAAAACAAAAGTCTCACTTAGCAAATATATTTATTAGTTAACATTACATTGTTTTATTCCTCCTCTCCCTCAGAACAGCTAGCTTCTAAGAGCATGAAACTACTAGCAGTGGCGGAAGATCTACCTCTCTCACGTCGATGCTTGACCCTGGGGAAAAAATCTCTTACGGTGTTTTCTCTTCCCCGCCAAAGATTGCAACTGTCTCTCATCTCTAGTTCCTCTTCTTCTGTACTCCCTTCTTCAGTTTACCTGGAGTTTACCTGGAGAGAGTTCCGGGGGTCAGTACTGCTATTAGCTCCCTCGTCTTCCTCCACTTTGTCATCTGTTTTATCTTTAAATAATTTAAACTTTGTTTCTCCGGCATCTGGATGACCATAGGATACAGAGTGATAGGCATCTAAGTAAAAGCGCTTATCATCAAATGAGCTAAGACCTCGTTTCCTAGTGCTGATAGTGTCGTGTGGGGGTTCGGTAGGAGATTGATGGATAAGGTAAACTCATTTGTTGGATTTTAACACTATTGTCAGACTGTGGTAATGGGAGATGGAGCCCAGCCTGCCGACTCCTGCCTTCTATGATGCCTATGCGTCGTCTGAGGCCGAGGTAGCTCGTCTCACTCGCTCGCTGCATCCCATGACGTCATAGTCACAGGCCTAAGGGATCTTCTATATAAACACATGGATGGTACTATAATGCTCATCTAATCTATGCATACAACACATGTAAAGGAGGATCAGCAACTATGCTGACAATAGTGGTCATCTGACCTTTTAAATTTCTAATTTGACTATATTGAAAGGAATGTTTAGAGCCGTCTTCCAGCACACTTCTGAAGTTATTATGAGTTAATAATTGTTGTTCAGACTGAGGAACTCCTTTTGCAGCGATAGTGTTGTTATTATCTGCTAGCAGGATGCTATACATTTTGGGTTTAATGCAGACTATTTCTGAAATAAGGCGGTCCCCCACCTCACTTTTAAGTAAGCCTAGAGATCCCTTCCTTATTGTCAATAAAGTAAGAGGGATAAAATCTGGGAAGAACTTTTTTCCCCGAACAAAAAAAAATAAAAATTTGAGGGCAATAGGGGGGATTATGTAATTTGCCATAGTCATGTGAATTTCCCATTTGTATAAGCCGAGGGGGGAAATGTTTAAATTTATAAAATTCTGCCCATCGCCAAAACAAAATATTTTTAAAAAATAATAATAAAAATAATTTTTTTTCCCCCAAAATAAAAAAAAATAAATAAAAAAATTTAGCCTCAGGGGCAGAAAGTGGTGGACCCTGCTCTCTTTGTTGTGACTCCATTTACCCCCGCCACCTGGCGTAGGGCCCCCGCCCAGGAGGTGAAAGGGGAAAAATTCCAGACACCTTCATGTCGGTCGGGTTTTTTTAGGTCTCTTGGGCGGAAAAGAACGTGCTGGCATTGTTATTTCTCTTCACCCGGATAAACTCCCCCC